GGAATGCAACAAAGAGATGGAGATCGAAATACAGAGAGTGATTGAAATACAGAGAGATCAAAATACATAGAGAGAGGTTTTGAGTGGGAGGGATGCAAAACCCCTGACCAAGGTTGCATCTAGCTAGGAAAGTTTGATCTGTCCGGTATCACCCCAGCTCCAAGGGGAGTTACAAACGTGGAGATCGAAGAGGATGGAATACTCAAAGAGACGTCAAGGTAGAAGTCTGTAAGTCTATATCTTCCAGTATCTTTTCATAAGCTTGTAGTTTTCACAAATAGTATATTATGTTATTGTTCTGTTTATAGGGTTTTGAATTCCTAATTGTGATTAGAATGCTCCTGGGATTAGAATGCTCCTGGTTGGTCTGAATTAGGGTTTTGAATTCCTAATTGTGATTAGAATGCTCCTGGGATTAGAATGCTCCTGGTTTGTTGCATTTTTTTAGGGTGTAGACGTCTCTTTGTGAATTGCATATGCTTATGCATAATTCTTTTCCCTCTCATTCACTAAAGACTTAATGTGCTTAGTTGGTTTTTGTAGGAATGGGGAAAGCTAAACAAAAAACCACGCAACCATCAACCTCACCTGCTAAAGTGAAGGCTACTTATCGTCGTCGCCGCCAAACCCAAGAACTAGACACTCCCCCCAAACGACAACGCAAAAACAACCAAGGACGAGCACGTCAACCATCTCCACCACCACAAACGGAGGCTCAACTTGGAGGAGGGGGACTTCACGGCTTCCTCCAATTACCCGACAAACATAGGAGGGCTTTAGAGCGCTTCCTTCCCCTCCCATTTGGGCAGCAAAGATGCATTGATTGGGATCTCCTAGAGCGCCTCGGAGCAGCGGACCCCGTTCGCACATGCCTCCGTCTCCCGGCATGGTGTGAGGTTCTCTCCATCAATGAGGTCATCTACCGAGAGCTTACCATTGAGTTCCTCAGCACTCTCTCCATCAAGTTTATGTGCGAATTTCACCTCGACAAGCCCGAAGACAACATAACATTTCACCTTGGAGGACAGGCGAGACAGATGAGCATCACTGAGTTCACAGAGGCACTCCAGATATACCCACCAGGATTTCTCACTACAGGTCATGGTTTGATTTCAGAGAAAGTATATTCACCAAGAGCACAATTGGTCGATGCTATGTGGAAAAGGGTAAAACAAAACCATGTGGACAAGTCTGACACTGCCCACTATAAAGGGAATGATCTTCTTCCCCCATGGCGTATCATCCACAACATTATCGCTCATTCTGTGGCAGCTAGGGAGGGGAGCCCGGGGAGTGTGACCAAGCGGGATTTGAACTTTTTCCTCTCTATGGTAAAAGATCCCCCAATTCATCTTGGTTTAGTCATACTGAAAACCCTACAGAAGATGACCTCCAACAAACAAATCAAGACCATCCATGGAGGTGCCTACATCACAAGGCTAGCTCGGCATTTTGGCATTGATCCGGTGGGTTCTCATTGCACCATTGCCCAGTCCACTCAACCAATCTCCCAAAAAAACCTTGCGGATCTATATTTGTTGTCAAAGGTAAATGTTCCAACCAACACTTTCCTTTTCACAGTGAATGCTAAAATAGAACTAGTCGGGATTCAAACAATCTAGGATTGATTTTGTGCAAGTTTTGGATTGCCTACTAATCTAGTTCCTTTTGAACATTGAGCAAATGTAACTAATGCTTCTGATATTGATCATGTCTGTGTTTGGTGGTTAAGGAGAATGGTGTGGTAGGCATTGTTGGCCTCCCTCATCCTGCTCCACCTCTTGCAACAGATGAGGCAAACGCATCGGAGCATGTTGTTCAGCAAATGGTCGAGGAGTCTCCGCAACAACCTGCACAACATCACCAAACTACGACTCAAGCCGGACCATCCACCGACAGATACATTTCCCATTTTGAGGCATTGGGTCGGCAGAATGCCCAAATTCGCGAGCAAAATGCACTCATTCTCTCCCGCCTTGATCGAGAAAAGGAAGCTCGACGCTACATCATCAAATGCAACCATCACATCATGAGGTCCTTGAGGATTGACTACAAAAAATTCTCAACACCTTGGGAACTATCTCCTAGGCCAACCGAGGAAAGCAATGAAGAGGGAAGTGAAGAGGACGACGAGGGCAACGACGATGAACAAAACAAGGAAATAAATCAAGAGGACAAAGGGACCGATGAGGAAGAGGGCAGTGAAGAGGACGACGAGGGCAACGGCGATGAACAAAACAAGGCAATAAATCAAGAGGACAAAGGGACCAATGAGGAAAAGGGAAGTGAAGAGGAGGACGACGAGGGCAACAACGATGAACAAAATAAGGAAACAAATCAAGAGGACAAAGGGACCAATGAGGAAGAGGGCAGTGAAGAGGAGGAAGAGGGCAGTGAAGAGGAAGACGAGGGCAATGGCGATGATCAAAACAAGGAAAGAAATCAAGAGGACAAAGGGACCAATGAGGAAAATGGCAGTGAAGAGGAGGACGACGAGGGCAATGGCAATGAACAAAACAAGGAAAGAAATCAAGAGGACAAAGAGACCAATGAGGAAGAGGGCAGTGAAGAGGACGACGAGGACAATGGCAATGAACAAAACAAGGAAAGAAATCAAGAGGACAAAGGGACCATTGAGGAAGAGGGCAGTGACTCTAGCGAGGACAATGAAGATGAGCAAATCCAGCAAAACGAAGACGAGGACGAGAGCACTGACGAGGAAGATGGGCAGTGAAGATGACCCAACAAAAGTCCTTAGTACTTAGCTATGTGTGTTTGCGTTTGTGCTTGTATGTTTTCCAATTAGAATATGATGATGCACTAGTGTGAGCTACATGCAGCTAAACTTAAGCATTAATTAGACAGATTTAATCGTGTTATGGATGCTTGTTTTATTAGACAAATGTAATGCTTTGACTGCGTTTTACTTTTTGTTAACAGGGTATCTCATCTGATATGATGTACAGTTACTAGAGAACATTGTGAATGGATCTATGTAATGCTCGTGTCAAGGTTTAGAGAACATTATGAATCATCTTTTTCATAAGTTTGAAGTTCTGGAAAAAAGTCCATTCTGTTTGAAACACCATTATAATAAGTACACGGGATAGTTCAACAGGTGAAAGTCTCCTACTGGAAATCTGACACCTTATACTGGTAATCTCACGACCGTAAAATACTCAAGTGAGATGTAAAAAGCAGTGCTTCATTCCTCAGGCAAATATCACGGCCGTGAGATGTCCCGTGAGATGCAAAGAGCAGTTCTCACTATCCCATGAAATTTCACGGCTACTACTTGACATTGTCACGCCCGTCAAAATCTCACATTCTAGAGTTGTACCTTTACACTAAACTTAAAGTTGTACCTACACTTTCCTAAAAATCTTCTCTGGTACAATTCACAATTGTACCTATACACTATGGTACAACATTCTACACTTTCTAACAAATCCCTTTATGGTACAACTAAAAATTGTACCTATACTAATGGTACAACCTTAAGTTGTACCTACACTTTCTAATAAATCCCTTTATGGTACAACCCAAACTTGTACCTATACGAATGGTACAACTTTAATTTGTACCTACACTTTCTAAAAATCCTTCTATGGTACAACCCAAACTTGTACCTATACTATGGTACAACTTTAAGTTGTACCTACACTTTCTAATAAATCCCTTTATGGTACAACCCAAAATTGTACCTATACTAATGGTACAACCTTAAGTTGTACCTACACTTTCTCCAAATCCAGCTATGGTACAACCCAAACTTGTACCTATACCATGGTACAACTTTAAGTTGTACCTACACTTTCTAACAAATCCCTTTATGGTACAACTAAAAATTGTACCTATACTAATGGTACAACCTTAAGTTGTACCTACACTTTCTCAAAATTCTTTTATGGTACAACTAAAAATTGTACCTATACTAATGGTACAACCTTAAGTTGTACCTACACTTTCTCAAAATTCTTTTATGGTACAACCCAAACTTGTACCTATACCATGGTACAACTTTAAGTTGTACCTACACTTTCTAACAAATCCGTTTATGGTACAACTCAAAATTGTACCTATACTAATGGTACAACTTTAAATTGTACCTACACTTTCTAATAAATCTCTTTATGGTACAACTCAAATTTGTACCTATACTAATGGTACAACCTTAAGTTGTACCTACACTTTCTCAAAATCCTTCTATGGTACAACCTAAACTTGTACCTATACTATGGTACAACTTTAAGCTGTACCTACACTTCCTAAAAATCCTTCTTTGGTACAACCCAAACTTGTACCTATACCATGGTACAACTTTAAGTTGTACCTACACTTTCTAACAAATCCCTTTATGATACAACTCAAAATTGTACCTATACTAATGGTACAACCTTAAGTTGTACCTACACTTTTTCAAAATTCTTTTATGGTACAACCCGAACTTGTACCTATACCATGGTACAACTTTAAGTTGTACCTACACTTTCTAACAAATCCCTTTATGGTACAACTAAAAATTGTACCTATACTAATGGTACAACTTTAAGTTGTACCTACACTTTGTGAAACAAATTCTTCAATTGTACAGCTGAAACTTGTACCTATACTATATGGTACAACTCTAATTTGTACCTACACTTGTATACATTGATTCATTATTTACAAGATTGCCATTAATGATGTGGGACCAGTCATTTAGTGGGTTACCTCCTCAACAGGTCACCTTTTTTTTTTGTTTTTTATAGCATGGGTGCTATAGAGCACACTAGAAGGGCTCTAATAAAAAATGAATATATTGATTAAACCATAGTACAAACACAATTATGATCCAACCCCTAAACAACAAGGGGTATTTGTGTCCGACATGGTGAATACATCATCGAGTTAACAGCACGACGAAGACTTCTTATCTTCCACGAAACTAAACGATAGAGCTTAGCCTCTGAAATAGTTCGTATCGCGGTTGCCCCAAAATATGATATGATTGTTACGAGTCAAAGCCATGGTTTCAAGTTTCTATTGAAGATGCTCGGCCCGTAGGTCGACATGACAATCTCGATGAGCAACGGAAACTGCAGCAACATAAACAGAGTTACCGGAACGGCAGCGAGCAATATCATCGGAACCACGAACTCCAACTGCCGGTCCATGACTATCACAACGGTAGCAGAGAAAGTCACCATCATGGCCGCGATCGAGACGAAGAGCGTCGACAGCCCGATCACCATCTTCGTGGGCAAGGATCTAAGGAAATCGGTCATGGAGTAGCGCGCCGTGAGGATGGCCAGGAACATTAGGACTGAAGTGGACGCAGCGTAGAGGGAGATGGCGTCGGATATCATGAAGATCTTGAAAGACCAGTCGTCGAGGAGGGTCGGGAGCCCAGTGTCCTTGTTCCCGCCGGGGACCGTGAGCGCGGCGGTGAACATGATCGTGATTATGAGGGCTCCAACGACACTGCAAGCCGTCGCCATTTCTTTCATCCATTGTTGTCCCTCCGTTGCCAGTTCTAGGTGGGTCCGCACGAATACTTGCTTTGCCGTTTCGCCTGTGCAGTTGAGCTTGTCTCTGTACATGGGATCCATTAGATGTCCCAATTCCTGTACGTTTCAGAAACCAGATAAATTATGTACCATTTACTAATACACTCTCTTGGATGAACAGTTGAACACCAACTCAGAAGGGCTCGAAATTTGCATAGGAATCAGCATACCATATGCTTAATAAACAGAATCATCAGGATTCAAATAAGACCTCTCGGTAACAGAAAGAGTTGATATCATGTCATGACCCACTTGGTCCCAACAACTCAAATTATTGGGAGCAACTGGTTTTTGACACGATATCAGAATTGGTTTGACCAACTATTCATTTGTTCGAATCTCCATGATGGGAATGCATTTGAGCAGGTGTGGTTAAAACACAATGTTTATTTTACCGGTTGCTTAAAACACAATGCATGGTGGGAATGCATTTGCAAACATCTAGTTCGTGAGTTGATTTTCATTTGAAACAGTGTGTAATAATAAAGTAGTTAAGATCCATACATACAATTGTTTTTTTTTTTTTTTGACATGGTATCAGAGCCTTCTGTAACCGAGAGGTCTTATTTTCAAATCCCGCGACGACCCCATTTGTTTAGTACATAGTATTCAGACATGCATGTGCAAACTTCAAAATCATATATGTATGGCTTTCGTTTGAGCAGGTGTGGTTATAAGTGTTATATGATCCATAGTTGAATCTCTCACATCAATTCGAGTTAGTTGTATCATAAACCAATTGGTTACAATAACTCGAGTTGTTGTAAGAAGACCGTTCATGATAATTCACGACTTTCTTACACCCCCCTTAAACGAGCCAACTCATGGGCTCAAAGTTTGCATAAGCTCAGTCTATATCACGTACTTTAAGACAACGGTTAATATTGGGATTTGTGAGGACTAGAATTCATCTTTGATATAATGCCACAAACCAACTTATTCCCGTAACTTGAGTTATTGAAAGAGATACATGTATGATACTTAAACACTTCCCTACAATTGAATAATTGATAGAATATGACTAACCTGAAACCACTGGAGTTCTCTTTGCATCTGAAGAGCGGCACCAGAGATGTGAGAAAGATTGGCACAAGGAGACAACATGGCAGCCACATGTAGCATCGAGTTCTCCTCTCTGTCGACCGACGACAACATGGCTGCTCTGTCGTGGAAGGAATACAAGAGATTGAAAACCTGCTCTTGTCGATACTCAACCGCCGTCATGAACGCATTCCTGCCTCTGTCGTCGACTTTGTACAACAAAGCAGGGCATGCTTTCGCTGCCTCCTCAACGAATTCGACGATCCCATTCTCCACGGCCTTGTGGAATGCTTCGCACACCCCGTGGCCTTCGAGCTTTCTCAAACCGGCCGGGGTCGATGATATTGAGGAAACATGTTGGCATACGAGGGTTAGGAGTTCGAGAGAACACATGTGGTCCATTTTCAAGTGATAGGTTTTGTTGAACTTACGGCACCAAGTCTCCTCTGAGAACACGTCAACTACAGGTCAGTCCGTTTGTTAGTACGTAGTAGGCATTCAATCAATCAACAACGAATGCATGACTACTGCACACCCAATACCTTGTCGATCAATGGTTTGTTTGGTGTTGCTCAATGAACTCATCCCAAAGTTGTCCTCTTCTGGGTGCAAAGGATCAGGTAGTCTTACCCTTATATCTGCCAATCCATAGATTTGAAACTTACAATCTAGGGGGACACATAAAAGATATAAGGAATTGGGGTACTTATTTAGAACTCGTTGATTCTCGATATGACAATCGAGCCGTCCATTGAAGAATCGCGTACTTTAATCTTGATAATTTAAATAATCTCTCACGTACAATAATTTAAGTTATTAGAAATCACTGCTTCTTGACATATATGATTAATAAAGAGAAACTTACATGAGTATAAGGTTCGTAGATAGAAGACAACTGGACTTCCGCTGGGGAATGATGTCGACATGAGAGATAACTGAATAGCAGCATTAAAATTATTGGCATCCATGGTTGTAGCCATGCTTGGGCGATGCCTCAGCATATCTAATGCAATGCCTGCTCTTCGTTAATAATTGTTGATCAGTATTTGTCAAAATAACCACAATACATAAACACGATGGTTTCGATGGATCAATTCATAAGCAAGATAATTTGTCCAATTGTCTTATTTATAAAAACGAGTCATTTAATTTACAATGACTTCATTCGAAACTGAAATTGCATGTTCCAAAATGGATAATTCAAAATTCTTCAAATCAAATCCATACATTAAAAAAAAAAAAATTACCAGCAAACAAGTCAATTTGATTCAGTTAGAAAAATGAAGGAATCAAACTTACCCCATATTCCACGGTGGATACAGAACTTGAGCACACTGGCACCGTGCTTGCCGTCGTTCTCGTCAAACAGCATCCTAAGTGGAGTGACGATATAAAGCAATTTAACCAGTTCGGAATCGCCCTTCCGAGAGGCCTCTTCCACCGGCAGGACCGCCGCTTCCCGTTGACTTCTTATAATACCGCTGAAAATGGCGGCCAACTTCTTATTTCTGTAAACCATCTCCCGCACCATCCGGCGGTGGCCTCCCGCCACCGCAATGTGAAGCGCCGTGCAGCCGTCACCGTCCTTGATCTCGAGGTCCTCCTCTCTCATTGCCCGCATCAGCTCATAGCCGACCTCCGCCTCTCCGTACTTAGCCGCCAGATGCAGGCCGGTCCCCCGCCGCCCGCCAGGGAACCGCCTCGTCGCTGAATCTGGGTTTCGTCGAATCAAATCACGTAGTCGGGCTATGTCACCTCTACGTATGCAGGCTTCTAGCTCCGTCAAGTCCTCGTCGGCCGGCTGGTTAACCTCTGTATCGCAACCATTATTAAATTAATATATAAAATACCGAATATATTAACAGCGAGGGATGACAATAGTTGGGTTTGAGACGAATTTCGCTATATCCATCATCATCCTCATTTCCAATTCATAAACCCATACACAATTAACTCCAGTCACGTAAGAGTTGAAGTTTTTAATCTACATCCTATCCCGACAATTGCGGATATCAGTACATAATACCTGACTTGAAAATTCAAACCAAACTCAATCTAAAACTAATGTAATTGAGTCAAATACACGCTGCAATTTTAGAACTAGAACGTTGAACATAGATTATACTTCATACATGAAGCACAAAAAGTATGAAACATAACAAAAATTTAAGTACTTTGAAGAAATTATAGATAAAAGGTGGCATATATGTATTCTTTAAAAAAAAAGTGGCATATATGTATTGAATGAATCAAAAAGTGAAATGAAGGTATTTTAAGTGTGTCACATTATTTTGAAATTTTCATGGAAGATGGAGGAGGAGAGATTAGATTAATGTAATCAGGTACGAGTAAAATATGAACTATACGATGTTGGTTATGCATATAGATTATGGAGATGGGGCATCTACATGGAAACCCATCTCCGACTCATCGCTCATCCATCATTACAATTTTCTATATGACCATAATTCATACTCATCCCGTACCCGATCAATACAATAATTTCCATTATTAAGTGAATCGTGAAAGGTCTTATATCCACAAAGTATGTTTACTTTGTGCAGAGAAGGACAGTCAGAGGGAATTAATTAATGATTTAATTACCTTGTACGTTGAGGTCCTGATCAACATCAAGCAGAAGCTCTGCCTGCTGCTTCTCACCCTGATCGTAATACAAAGTGGCGACGGCCTCCCAAGCTTGCTTGGCGGAAGTGATCCCCCTAATCTGCCGGAGAAGGCCGCTGCCGCACGAGATCTTGATCGCGTGCAGCGCCGCCGCGTTCTCCCGCCGCCAACAACGTCCTTCAGTACTACTGATATTACCGTCGGTCGGGGGAATGGGCTGCTCGTCAACGACGACCAAGTGCAGGAGATCTCGAGAGAGGAGATAAGTCTGGAGGCAGTCGCTCCAGTCCTCGTAGCTGATTCCGCCGCCGCCTCCTCCGACCTCAAGTACATCCCTCGTGATCATCATTGCCATTGTTCTCTGTTTCGTTCCAATTTTATCAGATGTACTCCAAGAGAAGCAAAATTACAAGTACCCAAACTGTCGTTCTCCATTGATTTAAGGAATAGAGGGAGGGAGAGAGAGAGACTACAATAAGTCTGCAACTAGCATTAATGTAAATTTTCTTAGTTGAATTGAAGCTTCCTCAAAATTTCGGATCCAGCCAGCTGCTAGATGCTTTGAGTTGCAAGTCCGTACGGTTCAGAAACTAAAAAGAAATGATGATGGAGCAGATGATTAGGAGCTGATTGATAATATTATATGACGACCTCGTTGATGATCTGGATCGAGTATGTAAGTAAGCTTAAGAAAATGGATTTTTATGTTTGGTGGCAACAACTTGAGATATTTAACAATGACTAAGGTACGACCAAAGACCCACTTGGCCAGTTCCATTCCAACCCACTAACAATGAAGAAAAATGGGATTGTCCCGTGTTACAAATTCCAATGAGTGTGTGGTTGTTTCTACTTTTTTTTCTTAAATTTGAGTAATACTTCCTGAAAGTTGTGAATTTTCATCTCAAATTTGTCGAAAAAATATGTTTGGTGATTTTAGAAAAAGTAAAGTTGGTGAAAAGTAAATAATAGAAAAATAGTTGATGGGATGGTGAATAGTATGTTTAATAATTAATAGTAAAGAAGTGAATGAAAAGTGTGCAAAATTCCTATTAAGTGTATAACTTGAAGAATAATTTTAAAAGGATAAATTAAGTGTAAAGTGAAATTCATTTTGCGAGATTTTAGATTTAATTAGTTTATAGGTTTTATTCTTTTAGAGTGAATTGATCGATTACTGAGCTCATTAATAAGTCAAGCTTGAATCAAACTTGAGCTGGCCTTATTTTTATTGTATTGAACTTAAAACTTGGCTCAATTCCTCTCATTTGCCTCCCTAGTTGAAATTGACACTACAAATATATAGCTCAAAAATCCTATTCCTAATCTACCCCTTGGACATTAAAATAGTCCTTCCTAATATTAATATAAAGAGGTTGAATTTCCAGCATTTTGAGTAAATTTAGGAAGGATATTATTGTTGCCCCTTCGCATTAGCAAAACAATTTAAGGTTCTGGTTGTAAGCTTTAAGTTAGTTGAATTGTTGATCCTGAGTTATTAGGTGAAGCCATGTGATTTTGTGTTTGACTTTGTAAAGCTTGAAACGAGCAAATTCAGTTTAGTAATTTACTTTCAAACTGTGGAATTGTCTCGCATCATTGGACAAGGTTGATTGCTGCAGCGTGTTCTTTGCCAATCTCGATTTAAACATAGAAATGGTCATAAGAGTGACCGATTAATTCAATTGTTAATAAATATTTGGAACTAATGTTTTCACTGAGGAATGCAGGAAGAGAAACTTACCTACTACACATGATCAAGTTGAGAAAGAAGTTAACTGGTGGCGTCACTTCTCCTGACTGTACAATGAATTTGCTATCGCTACGTTGTTGCTCAAGATAATTGGAATTGGAAGAAGCCGAATATGCAAAGTTTGTAGTTCTCAACTGGTACATCATCATTCCAGCAAAAGAAGCAACCTTCCTTTTTAAGTGGATGCACAATTAATCATATGCTCTCACAAAAGGAAAACCCAACGGAAAAATATGAAGATTGAGAAGCAAGGAGGAGCTTACCATTTCCAAGGAGATCAGGATCACATCAACAAGGCAAGTGGTTTCAAATGCAACGGCCAAAAGCTTCAGTATAAAAGGAGTCTTGGAACAGCTACATAGTAGAACCTTTTCGGAGATCAACAAAGCTAGCTAGTCAAGAGGGGATTTTGTGAGTATAGCAAGTTTGATAGAAAAGGGGATTTCTCAAAGGGTTCGGGGAGAACAGCTTTGAGGGTTAGTGTTTGGGAGACACTGGTTACGAGTTGCTGGGGAAGCGATTCGGGGTTCTGTGTGAGTGACTTTGATCGATCGAGTTCAGATTGATCAAAGTGTTCTTGGGTAAATATTGTTACGACAAATTTCAACGCAAGATCATTAGTGAATCGTCGGAGATTACACAACTGTGAGTCTCTTACGGTGGAGTAGTCAGTATTGGGATTCTTATTCTCCCAATACTTGAAACCACCTGAGTTGTGTACCTACTCTGCATTTCAAGTTTCAGTTCCGGCATTGTTTGCTTGTGTGCCCGATTTCAGTCTTTGATTGCAGGGGAAATCGATCAGGACGTACGCAGGAAGGCGAAGCTCAAGTGTATCCCCAGAACGGGTTTGGTGAACCGATAAACGATCTGGTTTGATATAGTTTATGTTTCTTGATCTAGGCTGAGTTTGCTGTGTTATTATTTGTTCTCGGTGTTCTTTACTCTGTTTGTGGAACTTTAGCTATAGAGTAGCTTTTTATTGAAAAACTGACGAAGAGGAAAATCTGTATATGTTTAAAATTGAATACTCCACCGTTTTGATTAGTCAAGTAGGGTGCAAGCATGTGAAACACTATAGGCCTCGTTTGGTATTTGTGATTGTTAGAATTGATATATTGTATGGATGCATGCATTATCAATTGATGTATTGGCTCAATGGTTGCATTTTAAGATTACGATGTTTGGTAGTTGTGGTTGTATTGTTAAGAATATAGTAGGAAAATAACTTTTTGAATGAACAGACACATTTACCTTCCTTTTAGATACAAAAGTCAATCACATATATAAGTTGACGAGGGCATAAAAGAGAAGAAAAGTTGATTCACAATCTCAAAACACAATCTCACCAAATAGTTGAGATTCTAAATCATTCATTTTGAATGATTTCAAATGTCACATCAACAATCAAATACATGCATTGTGTTTCACTTTGCAACAAAAAAATGATGTACTCTCTATAATACATGCATTCATTAAATACATTATTTAGATACGCATCTACCAAATGACCTCTACGTTTTACTTGAATTACAATTGTTGTTTGAAATTGGTTGGGCCTCGTGTTATATTAAGGCTTGGAAGTTTAAATATTGGGCTTTGAGAACTAACTATAGATTGAGCCCATCACATATCCATTGTCGACAAACACCAGCTAACAAAGCTGGTTGAAGATTCTCGATCAAACTTCCCATTTCATTGAGATTCCTCACTTTTTCTTGCCACAAGGTTTCACCTGGGTTTTGCAGGTGGCTTTATTGACTAACGATTCAGTGGAATTGAGCCAAAGTAAAAAAGGGCGTCTCGCGCTCGACCCACCAACAATTATTATCCTCTTAATTAATAAAAACTCTGACTATTAGATTAATAAAATCTGGAGTTTTTGCCGATTATTATATAATTATTTTGCCGATATATTAATGGAAATGGAATTATGTATGGAATATTTTTAAAATAATTATTATATTATTATTTGTAGTTAGGTAAGATGGTTGCGTACTTGCTTGTATTAAAGTTTAGTTGGTTATTTTCTTTTCTTTTATTTCAAGGTTGAATGTCTAAGTTATATGTGAGAATTGATAAAGGGTAAAGAGGCTTATGAATGTAATTATAAGTGATTGAGTTGTAGACAACATTGTTTATTCTAACTTTATTTGTGTCGTGAGTAGGGGTGGCTATCCGGTCGAGTCCGGTTAAACTGGCACAAATTGATTCGGTCCGGTCTTTTTGGAAATTTGGGGGACCAAAGATTGGATTTCTTACAGTCCGGTTTTAACAAGATCCGATTTTGACCCGGTCCGATCCCATCCAGTTTTGACCTGTTTTGACGGCTGCTGCTACTGGTAGACGGAGAACGACGAGATGTGACGGAGGGCGACGACCTAGAACGAAGGTAGACAAGTTATCGACGAGATGCTGGTAGCGAGGTCGGAGTAGAGCGATCTGGGACAGAGCAGATGCTGGTCGGTGGTCGCGGTCGGTGCCTCGTTGGGTCGCAGGCTCGGAGCAGAGGCCATAATCGTGTTTGCTGGGTTGGACCTGAGGTCGGCGCCACATCACGATCGTTCGGATTTCAGCCCGGCGTCGCGTCTCTTTGCGAAGGTGGATCAAAGCGGAGGTGGTCGGAGCAGAGGTGGGACGGAGGCTCAAAGCGGAAGTGGATTGGAGGCTCGGTTGACGCTCGCAGGTCGATTTTAGGGTCTTCGTGACGGCGGTTGTGGTTTTAATTGCGAGGAAAATGGATTGGAGGAGAGGTTGCGATGGAAGTGGAATAGTCGAACATATAGAGGGAGAGTGAGTCCTTCTCCTGCAAGTGCAACCCTAGAGAATAGAATCTGCTGAGCTCGCTTGGGTTGTTTGGTGGAGTTGTAGTGGGCCTGTCTGGGCCCTAGTGGGCTTTGCCTCTGGTTATGGGCGGGCTTGGTCCCTCTGGTATGTTTTTGAATTTTGAGTTATCCGGTCTTCCGGTTTTGACACGGTTTTAACTCGGAATGGATTTGTCCGGATTTTTTGCTAATTTTGAGACCAAAGACAAGATTGGATTGTTTTATATCCGGTCCCGATCTTAAACCGTCCGAGTTATACGGTCCGGTTTCCGATTTTACATCCAGTCCCGGACCAAATAGCCAGCCCTAATCGTGAGTGAGTTAGATTTTTTGAATGTATACTGAGAAACTACTCAAAGATATTGACAAAATGAGACAGCCTTCACCTCCTCGCCGCATCCAAAATGAGAGCATAAAATAAAATTTTAAGATCAAGCACATTGCGAACCTGACCCATTAGTGGGTACATAGTTTTGAAGATAATGGATGATAAAAAAAGCGATCTCATACAAAATTCATTAAATATAGTTGGTAATTTAAGTTCTTGAAAACAAAATTTCACATTTCTAAAAATGCTGCCATTAAATTTTTGCATTCAGTGAAATGAAAGAAAGAAGGAAGTGTTTGCTAATAGCGGAGGCAGTGAATTCAATGATGGAGATAATGTCGTTATTGAGATAAATTATGTGATTATCAATGATGGATATAGAATTTGCAAAGATAGGAGGAAAAAGAGAATGGTTGATAATATTTATGATTTGAATGAGGTGAAATTCTTCTATTGTCAAAAGATGTTTCACATTCTCAACCATTTTATCATTAAAATATGGTTTTCAATATAATGCAGGAGAAGAATAGATAGATTATTGACGATGAATATAAGGTTTCATGAATAAAGATAAGTAATTTGGAGAAAATACTTTTTCATGGCAGAGCAATAAAAAATAAATCCAAAAGAGAATTTGAAATAATTTCTAACACCAAAGAGTACGCTGAAGTGCGTTTTGAATGTTAAGTGTTTTAGAAGTTGGTTTCCTGCATGAGTTGTGATGTTTCCTTTTGATAAGGACTTTAGTCCATGAATGATCAAAATGTTGTAAAACTTATTATGTATATTATTTTTTGTATATTTTTAGTAATTGAATAATTTGAGTTCTTTTATGGTATCAAATAAATGATTATTGTAATTACTATTATTGTGTATACATTCATCCCGCCAACGGACATGCCCAAATCCAGTAATACTTATACTAACGCTAATTAACAAGTAGCAGTAGATAAGAATGCTCTAACTGAATCATAAACTAATGAAAGTGACTAGTACGAGGATTTGCGGAAGATCTCATTTTCGAAGACAAGGACAGAAACCCTTTATAAAATGGTTTTCTTAGTAGAGTTGGGTAATGATTCAGACCGAATGGATATTTTGTGCTCCATATCATTTGAAGTACGAAGAAAATTTGATCATAAATTGAATTTAGATATGGCCGAATCGAATGAATAGAATAAAATATGCTTTCGGTATGGTTTTGATAATACCCCTTTTTTTTTTTGTTATTAGTCCGTTACTGTCTCAATTATATTCGATTATGATTGAATCAACCGATATCCACTCCTAATTGTTTCAATATAATTGGGATTTTACTTTGATAATTCAGCATAAAAGAGCAGTAGTTAGTACTAGTAGAGTACCCTGCCTATTTGCAAAGTCCAAATTCCCTATTGCCACATGGTTGAGCGATATTGAGTTTTAGGCCCAGGGAGAAAGTTGTCAGGTCCAACCCAGTTAGAAGGCCCAAGAGTTATGTGGCCGAGGGTAAGACGGGGTGTTAGGCGGTCATCCTGTAGACAAGACGGGGCATAGACCGCCTTACATAAAGCCCTGGTGGAGACAAGAAAGGAAATCGATTAAGATTCACATCGGTATAAGCAGGACTAAGCATTAATTACCGCTGTAGGTGGTCCCGGGACAGGATAGGTTTAGTGCACCTGACATGGCATTTAATGTCCCAAACCCTCCTCTAAATGAGTATAAATACCGTATGAGAGCATTGATGGTAACTCAACTACTTATTCTGCCCACTGACCCTTATTTTGCAGGGTTTTGGAGTGCCTCCCATAATCAAGAACATACACCTCACTCATGCTTCATAAAACCGCCTAGTACTTTCTAGGCACAAACAATTTGGCGCCCACCGTGGGGTGATAGAAAGAGAAGGCATTTGCGGGCTAGAAATGCCAACTATCGAAGAAGAAATGGAGATAGAAGAATGCATAAAAGATCAGGGGCATCAATTCTCTAGCATGCTGGAAATTTTGAGCCAAATCCTCGCCATGCTCAAGGAAAAGGACGCTCCCGAAAGCTCAAAAAGGCAAAAGGCCAAAGGCAAGGAAGTGAGAGGCGAGATTCCTGCCAGCCCTGCTCACCCAGAAGGCAAGAAATCTGAAGAAGAAGATGGCGTAGAATAACTCAATCTGATTTTCTTGGAGGAACACATCAGTTCGTCGTATGGGAAAGTGAAGGGCCAAAATGTGTTGCAAAACCCTTAGGCGAAAAATCTATTCAAAACGCAAATACCTTCCAACTTCGTATGGCTGGGATTGCCGGCCTAGATTGGAAACTCTAACCCAACGGAACATCTGAGCGTCTTCATGCTCAAGATGTAGCTTACTAACACCTCAGATGCAGATCTATGCAAGGCGTTCCCAATCACTTTCAGCGGCCAATGCAGGACCTGCTACATCTCCCTCTCGAAGGAATAATCGAAAGCTTTGAACCTTTAGCCATGCTCTTTTCGTCAAAATTTTCATATCAGAGGGGAAGGAAGCTCACAGTGTCAGCACTTATCAAATGTAGGGAAGGAGGAGAGAAGACACTGATGGACTTTTATGACAGATGGAACACCATAGCTTACGAAGTGCAAGGAATTTTGCCTAGCGTGGCATCAACGTCCTCCTGAGTGGTAAGGAGGAATTCCTCATTCCACAGCGACCCGTCATGTCTGTTTGAATATCGATACACCATTTGATCAACTCTTCTAGTACCATCCATGCAGGTAATCTGAGTGCACATTTGATGGAGCTCTTCAAGCATCGGTCTCGTACGGACCTTCATTTTATAAAATTTGCCACCGACGTAACTTACACCCTTTTCGGTCTGTTCCATATAACCATTCCACCACAACCCAAGCGTGAACCTTTGGAATGCCATCTGCAATGAAAATTAATACAAGTTACTAACATAAATCACAAAGGAAAATCAAAAGTAATTAAGTTACTAACATAAAATTACAATGGACAATGAAAAGTAATTAAGTTACTAACATAAAATCACAAAGGACAATGAAAGGTAATTAAGTTACTAACATAAAATCACAAAGGACAATGAAAAGTAATACAAAACAAACTTACGAATTAACGTTAATAGCAAAAACTAAATTATTTAAAGGTGTAAAGCTGAAATTTGAAGAAGGAAGAGGAGGAGTGTGAAGAATTTGAGTTCTCTGAAACAGCCTTTTATAGGCAAATTTTGCAGCAACACCGCGGCGGGGGGGGGGGGGGGGGGGGGGGGGGGGGGGGAGCGGTTTTAGGTCTGCCATGCAGCCCCACCCCCTGCATGGCGACATGTCCGACATGTTTGCTGTTGGGTGACCAGTCACTAATTTAAACGCTTCCTCTTGAAGCGTTTTGTGGTAGGGTTAGTATATAACCGCGCCTTCCAGAAGCCGTTTTTGCTGGAAATTAAAAACGCCCTTGGCAAGGAGGTTATATTGTAAACTGCTGCCAGGAGGCGCGGTTTCAATTAAAACCCCTCATTAGAGGCGCGGTTTTAAATAAACGATGGTATTTTTGGAAATTGTTGGGAATGGGTGTTATTTTTGTAATTTTTTTTAAATAGTGGTAGTTTTAGATTTTTTCCTGTTTTTAAGGGCACGAATAGAGCTTCTGCCGAGTAACAGATGTATAGAAATTTCTCGTGCTCGCCCAATAAGGTATTCCGTGCATATACACTGTAGTTTGGAAACCCATCAAAGTGAGAATGTGAAACCAAAAGAAAAAGAAACAAATAAGAATATAAGGGATTCCAACGAATGAAATGGGATGGAAGAGCATCCGATACGAAGATTCCTTGGTTGTTAAATTGTGTGAGTCTCTCTATCCATGAATTGGATTTCCTAGTTCCCCTGCTTCTCATGATCCTAGTTTGAGTCTAGTACTCGCATTGAGAGAGATAGGGGGCATCTTAGAAGACCGGTTGACCTCGTAAGTTGCTAAATGACCTCGGAAGTCCTATGCCGATGATTGGGGTTTCATGTTGCTATAGAGGTCTAGAGAGCTGCATTGGTTTGACTCAGGTTTGTTTGGGGACAAGCAAACAATTAAGTATGGGGGGATTTGACAACTCGATATCTATACATGTTTTTGTCCACCATTCTTATATTTTTTGAGTCTCGTCTCTCGTGTTTTAAACCGATTTCACGCTAGGTTGTTCTTGGTGGTGATATTTCAAGTCCTAGTACGTGATTGAAGGTTTGGGCACGAATTTAGGGTTGATTGGACGAAGTTAGGACGTGCAACAAGAGGCTGAGGCATTTACACGGGTAGGAGTTGATTTCACATGGCCATGCAGAGTGGCGGTTTGACTGGTTTTACGAGGCCAGGAGTCACACGCGCTGTGCACGAGCTCCCTCTCGCCTTGTGAGTATTCCAGAGAGTCGCACGTGTATTTTCACACGGCCGTGCCATGGTCGTGTGATTCCCTCGGCCAATTAAGCGTGACGCTGCGTTTCAGATATACACGGGTTGGATGGATTTTTACACGGTCGTGTGAGCTGACCGTGTAATCAGGTAGAGCTGTGTTTTAACCCGATTTCGAATTTTGGAGAGGGGCATCTGAGTTTTGAGACCTAAGCCGTTTCAATGGTAAAATGGCGGTCCTAAGCCGTTTCATCCCAAGAGCAACAGACAAATGCTCCTCATTTTATCAGATGTTAAAGAAGTCAGCATCACGACTTCAATGGAGTGCTAAGTGCGATCGAGCTCTGCTTCATGGAGAATCGCTATATATCTACTTGGTGGTCTCCAGGCAAGATGTTTGTTCCGTCTTGGTACGGAGAGCACAAGATGGCTCAGACCATCCCGTCTACTATGTAAGCAAGTCGCGACTCCCAGAAGAAAAGCTTTACATGCCAATCGTGAAGGCTATTCTAACCGTAGTCTCAGCTGCAAGAAAATTGCGCCCTTATTTGCAAGAACACTAAGTCACCATACTTCCAAACCTGCTAGTGATGAAGATTCTGAGAGGAATGGACGTGTCTAGGATAGTGGGGCAGTCTAGTTGGTCAAAGAAATCCACCGAGGGCATGAGCTTCACATTGTGGACCAAGAAGCCTGGAGAGAACGATATTGTTGCAAGGTTACTATTGGTCGACAGTGAACGCGGTCTAAGGATGCCATTAATGTGAATTGCACGCCAGCAAACAAAACCTTCCCAACTAGGAATTGAAAATCATAATAGGTCCATTTCCGTTTGCACAATGGGGGCTAGATCTTTTGGGACCATTCCCTACTGGTGCCTCGGGGAAGAAGTATCTGGTGGTGGCCGTACACTATTTCACGAAGTGGATAGAGGCCGAACCGCTCCACACGATCACTAGTTCCAAGATTTAGAAGTTCTTGTTCATTAACATAATGATCAGGTTTGGGATGCCTCATACTATCATCACTGATCATGGTATGCAGTTTGACTGCAGACCATTCGAGAACTTCTGTGTCGGGAACCTTATTACCTGCAAAATGGCTTCAGCCGCATTTGCACTACCCAATGGGCAAGTTGAGTTGTCAAACAAGCTGATCTTACGGGGTTTGAAGGGAGGATTGAAGGAAGCTAAGGGAGGATAGACTGAGAGCTGCCACACTTACTTTGGGCGCATCGTACAAATTACTATAGGGAAACCGGAGAAACTCCATTCGCTCTGACATATGGATCTGAGGCAGTTCCACCAGTGGAGATGGCCCTCCCATCTCTAAGAGTCCAAGATTACGAACGAGAAGAAAACCATAGAAAGCTTCTCCATAAGTTGGACATGATTGAGACACGGCTAGATGCAGTGTTAGTTCGAACCATTAAAGAACAATCTAAGGTGGAAAAGACATACAACAGAAAGGTAAAGCCTTGGCCGCTGGAGGAGGGTGACATGGTTTTGAAAAAGAAACTTTGGGCAAAAGGAAGGGAATGGCAAGCTAGCTGCCATATGGGAAGGACTGTTCCTTGTGGGTGAGAAGTTAGGCCCCGCAACATATGTGCTCGCCACCAAGGAGGGTAAGCCAGTTTCAAAGACATGGAATGATATCCACCTGAAAAATTACTTTGAGTAGGGTAAGAACAGAAACTGTAGGGCCATTAGGCATTTTGTACGGTCGTAGCTTCGATCATATCCTGCAATGTATGTAATCCTGCAATGTTAATCAAAGTGACTCTGACCAATAGGCTAAAAGATCATATTCATAATTTGAACCGCACCCGAGCGATAGCAACAAATTGTGTTCGCATTTTGAACTGCCCCCTGAGCGAGAGCTTAAAATTTTGTCTCCACAATTTGAACCGGCCTCGAGGGATAGGTTTAAAATTTTCTTCACAATTGAACCGGTCATGAGCAATAGCTTAAAAATTGTCTACACAATTTAAACCCCCTGAGCGATAGGCTTCTAATTTTCTACACAATTGAACCACCTGGAGCGAAAGCTTAAAAATTGTCTCCACAATTTTAATCGCCCCTAAGCGATAGCTTAAAATTGTCTTTTCAAATGAACCGCCCCCAAACGCTAGCTAAAAGATGTCTCCACACTTTCAACCACCCCAGAGCAATAGCCTAAAAATTGTATACACAATTTTCACAATTTGAGCTGCTCTTGAGCGAGAAGCTTGGGAAATGTATACACAATTTAAACCGCCTTCGAGCAATAACCAAAGAAATTATCACAATTCGGAGAGTGCTCACATAATATGAACTGCTTGGGATACGTTTCACGCAATGAAACGCGCCCGCTAATTAGAAGAAACCGCATAAGGAAAATGAGGACTGATGTCTCAACAGCTATTATGGACTTCTTCAGGACAGGGAAGCTTCTCACAGAGGTAAACTCCACTTATCTGGCTCTTATACCTAAAGTGCTAAATGCTGACTGCATGAAGCAGTTTAGGCCTATCTCCTGCTGTAACACTCTTTATAAATGCATAGCTAAGGTCCTTGCTAACAGATTAAGAGAGGTGCTTCCCCTAGTTATAAGTCAAAACCAATCTGCCTTCATTAAAGGGAGACTCATTAGTGATAATGTGTTGCTTGCTCATGAGATGGTTAGACTTTATAATAGGAAATCTGTATCACCTAGATGTGCTTTAAAGGTTGACATAATGAAGGCATTCGACAGTGTGGATTGGGACTTCTTGGAAACAGTTATGGGGGCAATGGGGTTTCCTAGCCAGTTTGTACAATGGATTAGTATATGCCTGCACAGTACCAAGCTCAGTGTTAGTTTTAATGGGGGCCTCTGTGGTTATTTCTCTTCAAAAAAGGGACTGAGGCAAGGGGACCCTTTGTCCCCTTACCTATTCACAATCTCAATGGAAGTGTTGTCTTGTATGTTGAATAGGGCCTATGTGCTCAAAACTCTTCCCCCACATCCCCAAACACATAGGATAGCTCTATCCCACCTTTGTTTTGCGGATGACTTGCTCATTTTTACTAAAGGGACTTGTGAGGCAGTGGAGACCACAAAACAGATCCTAGACATATTCTATACTGTGTCAGGATTGAAATGCAATCCAACAAAAAGTGAAGTTTTCTGTGCTGGAATAGATGCTGAAACTAAGGGACAAATCTCTATGAGAACTGGATTTGTAGTTGGGAAAGTTAAACACTGCTGATTGTGCTGCTTTGGTTGATAAAATAACTGATCGAATTAAGGGTTGGAATGTCAGAGCTCTCTCATATGCTGGGAAATTGCAATTAGTTACAGCTGTTATTTCTAGTATTACACAATATTGGATGGGGATTATTACTTTGCCTGTTAAGGTGATCAAACAAGTTGAAAAGCTCTGCTCTGATTTTCTTTGGAATGCTGAGGAGGAGGGAAAAAAGGAAAAGGTGAATTGGAAATATGTGGCTAGGCCAAAAAAGGAGGGAGGTTTGGGTTTCAAGGATCTAAGAAGTTGGAATTCAGCCTGTCTTATCAGGCATCTATGGGCATTGGCATCTAATTCCTCCTCTCTATGGGCTCACTAGGTTCGTCAGTATCAGCTCACTTATACATCTATCTGGGACATTCCATCTTCAATAAACTGTTCTTGGGCATGGAGGAAGGTCTTAATGCAAAGGGACTATGCAGAGCATCATCTCTCTGTTAGACATTCTGAGGTCTATTGGGATGGCCAACCTATGAGCAAGTACTCAGTAAAGAAAGTCTGGGAGTCTCTTCGACCCAAATATGATAAAGTCCCTTGGTATGGATTAGTCTGGAAATCTCTATGTACACCTCGAGATAAAGTTCTTGGGTGGCTTATTATCCTCAACAGGATAAGCACACTGGACAAGGTGCAGGCTTGGAGTCCATCTGTTAACAACATATGTCCCCTATGTACTGCTGCACCAGAGTCGAGGAGTCATTTGTTTTTTGATTGCCCTTATTCTCAAAAGGTTTTGCAGGCTGTCTTTCACTCGAGGTTCCAATTAGGAAGAAGCTGGGATGAGAACTTGGCGATTGCTTTAGGCCGGTTTAAAACAACTTCACCAAATTCTGACAGGGGCAGGCTGTTTTGGTTGACAGTGGTGAGTGAATTATGGAGAGAGCGGTGTCGAAGGTTGTATGGCAGCGAGACTCTAGCAGAGGAACAGTTGCTGAAGAAGCTGCAGCGGATGGTGCTTTTACTAAGGAGTGGTTTCCCTCAAGTTAGTGCAGTAGTCAGTGAGGCAGAGATAATCAGTATAGTGTAACACATTTGTTTGTTTCCTGATTATTATGAAGGTTTTGTTGTTTTAGCTGCTGTAGTTGTAGCCAGGGTGACTGCCACATTTTCTGTAATCAGACAGTTGTAGCTTGGTACCAGTTAGAATGGTGTTATACCATTCTTTCTTGATGAATACACAACTTATTCATAAAAAAAAAAAAAATGAGGACTGAAATTAACTAAGTACGCCATAATAAGGCGCACAAATATCCACTGCCCAGCAGCATAATTAGTCTTAGATGCCCCCATAAAGGAAGCCAAACAAAATTAAAAACAATTCTTAAACATGAGATAATCTGATGGCTAAACCTATCCGCCATCAACTGAAGGCCGTTGATCAACTTCTTATCTGTCGACGGTTCCATCCTGAGTATTAGCTCATTGGGTGGTTCCAGCCTAAGTTTCTTCCTGCTCAGAGTTCAAGTCATCACCACCCCAGAACTCAACGGAATCCCAGATTGCATGAGCATCCCAAACAGCCTTAGGACGCTCACTCCAAAACCAATGACGAATGAACGCCACGATATCCCTTAGCAGCTTGTTTCACTTAGCCTCATTAGCAGCTTTGAACTTGTCGGAGTCTAAGAAAGTTGCCTTTGTATCTTCAGCCATGTTGTATAGATCGGCTTCGCGGTTATCTTCTAGCTCTGCCACCTCCCCCCTCAACCTCACCACCTCGTCCTTAAATTCCTTCGCTCGCAGAGAAGCCTCATTAGCTTCCTTCTAGAACCGCTCAACCCTTTCCTCTGCCTGCTTCTGTGCATCCTTGGTGGTTGCAAGTTTAGAGTCCTTCTCCAAAAAAGCGGCCTCTTATTCCTTGACAATATACTCCCTCAGCTCCTTCTTAAATGCCTCCCGTACGTCATTCAGCTGAGTTAGAATAGGGTCAAGCGGGAACTGCAAACCCATTTGGATGTGTTCCACATGGATGAGGATCCACCCACACTACAACAAAATGAGTCTATCCCGAGGGTTTTGTAGCAGGGGTTTGACGAATCCTTGCTAGCGTTTCCCGGAACTCCCCTAGCAGCGGTATATCCAAAGGGTTAAAGAACCCTTGCTACAGGGTTAAGTACTTCCCGCAGCCATTCCAATTTTCATTTACTTTCACTGTTTATTATCCTTTCATGGGGTGAAAAAATTATTTCAGTTCGGATCGAAAGAAAACAAATCCCAAGTCAAGCTCCACACCGCTCTTCTATCTTCTTCCCCTTCTTCTTCCATAGCACGAAAATCCCCAATTATTGTCGAATGCGAAGCGAGGTCCATAGCTGCGAGCTTTGCCGATAGATTCAGTCTATGTGAGATGAGAAGCTAGAAATCCGAAGCAGCAGAAGACGATGAAGGAATATGGATCGACTCCCCAGTGCTTTTTCAATTTTGGAGCTCAGCGTTGTCGCTACTTCTTCATCTCCCTTCACTTCATGCCCAAATCTGCCGGTAACTCATTCCGCTTCTGACGTCCTCCATTTCCCCTCTTCTTCGTCCCCACGAAATGGTTTTTATGGATAGGGAGCTTCTCTATTTTCTGATGCATAAGTGGCTTCTCTGTTTTCCAATGTATATGGATACCGGCATATTGACTGTAGTCAAGCTTACGACACCAAGAAGGAGGTAACATAATTGAGCTTAAGGTGTTTGATATTTTGCCTCATAGAGACAGAGGCCTGAACTTGCTTGCGCTCTGGTCTACTTACTGTTTTTGTGGCCTCTGAGCTCCCAGGTGGGAACTGTTATGACTTCTGAAGAAGCTTTTCGATGAGGGTGTGGTCAAGGCAGTGCGAGGGTTTCTTTGTTACTTCCAAACTCAGGTTCATCTCTGTTCTCAATAGAACTTTCCTGTATAACAACCTATTGAAGGAAAAGTCCAATGAGCAAGCAAATACTCATATATGTTTGGAGTATGTGTTTGAGTTGGGAATGGTGAAGCCAAAATCATGTAGGCAACAAAAGAGTCATCTATGGTGAAAATTTGAGGATTACAATATTTTGTTTACTCTAGTTTCTATTTATGATTACAATATCCAACTAATCAGACCAATGATTCATAATTAGTTGAAGGATTAGATAGTTTAAATGTTTGTTGGGTTCTTTTTGATGATCTGCAGTGAGCATTAATTAATATATAAAAGCCTAGGTTACTACTACTGTTTATTTCTAACCTTTATCAAGAAATTCTCATCACGGGCTTCAGGAAGAGGTGATATTGATTCAGCAACAGAAAATATTTGGCATTAAAGTAGCACCAACCAGTTTGATGCAACCTTGAATTTATTGTTCTGTATACAACTTAAGTACACCGTTAGATTTCCCTGACCCAATTCTTTAAAGAGCCTCAACTCACAGGGCTCTTTAAATGCCATCAAGGTTTGATATGGAAGTAAGAATTGTGGGGTTTCTGTAGCCATTCGTAGATGCAACCTCGATTTATTATATTTACAAGCTAATTCTTCCATTCCTTTCGTTTTTTTTATTTTTTATGCAGGTTAACCAACAAACGGCTTAACCTATTAAAAAGATTGCCTCTCAACATATTTTAGATTTAAATATCAGGTCAATGATGCTTCTCTTCTATTACCTTATGCCTGCATTGGAACTGTGCACTTGATCATCATATGAATACCTTGGTTTCTCATTCCATTGCATTGAATTCTTTGTTGAATGATGTGATAAGTTCATATGCTATATCCTAAAGAGCTTACTGCTGTCTCTCGCATGAACTATGCATAAGAACAACACACAACAGTCGTAAGACAGAAGAGTCTTTTAGTGCTGAGATTTCTTCATCCATCTTGTAAGTTTCTTCTACCAACGGCAGATAGGGAGGCTCTTTCAAATGCCTTAACAGTTTCAGTTAAAGTGTATTAGTGGTTTAAGTGTATGTGGGTTATGGAATTTTCAATGTTTCACTTGATCATTCATATTTTGCAATGTTCTATTTTCCCTGCACGTGTCTTCAAGGATACTTTCGCCAAAGGAATGGATGGGGTTCAGGGACCATCTTTATCTGGCTCTGGATTCTATATCACAGGAGCGGCACTATGTGTCAATGTTTCATATAAAGGTAAAATCTTCTAGTAATATAATTTGATCACGTTCATGATTTTAGGTATCTTTACTTCTAAAAGCCTTGAAACAGTTGATGAGGTTGGATGCTAAAATCCCATATTCTAATTGATGTTTAGTATGTAATATAATCCCAGAATGCATATATTTTTGTAAGATGTACTGATGCAGTGACGCCTTGTTGGATTATACCAGGATGAGAGATGCTCAAAATTTATCCTATAAGACAAAGTGTCCTCTGTCTCTCTCTCTCTGTTCTGTAACTTTGTGTTTACTTGGCACTAGTGGTTCCCTCTGTTTACTAATTCAGCTGCCCCATCCTCTTCTTGAAATCTTTTCAATGAACCATCTTCAAACAATGCCTTAAACCTGCTATGAAAGATCCCTAGTTATACTTTCAGGTGTACTTGGAAAGGATCCCAAAGAAACCCGAAATTGATGCATTTTTTGAAGAACTGAAGCCACATCAGATTAGTGATGTTGAACTTTTCAACTTGGCAGGTTTTACATTCATTAGCCGTGTGCTTATGTGTTATTGGTTGTACTTCCACAGAAAGCACTGTTGCCGGAAAACTTCACCGTCCTTGATCGTGCAATTTTCGAGCACAATCTTCTAAATGCAAGCAAACTATACACTAATATAAGGTTTGTTATTTAAATGCAATGATAGAGCTCAATCTTCTAAGTGCAATCAATTTGAGGTTTGACTCTATGGTTCTCTTCTTCTGATATACAGCAGAAGGAAAGCAAAGACAGTCATACGACTATGTTCTGAAAATGATGGTTTGTTATTTACTTGATTCTATGTTCTCATTCTCATTAATATTTCAAGCATATTAATTCTAAGCTTGTAAGACTTCCATCTTAGTTACCTACTCCAATCTTAACGTTGCAGACCTATTTAGATTTCTATTCAAGCAGTCGCTGTAGCTAGTTATGGATTGAAGGCAAGATAGTTACTGAAAGAGAGCTCCATAACATTGACATCATTCTGACATAAGTGGATTTGCCTTCAATATCAGGACATGTCCTCATTCTAATGATGGAGCATGAAATCTGCAAAGACATTCCTATCGTAAGTATGCTAATCCTGACTCAAGATTTTAAGTTAGTTGATTTGGCTTAAGCATTTGTGCCCTATTAAAGTCGTTGACTTTGTTAAATTGAAGAATCGTGTTCTTGGTACGTGGTACTGAGGTAGAGTTGGATCAATCATAGTGGTTGGTGGTTCAAGAATGGAAATTGGTGAACTTGGGAACAATCTGATGGTAAGTTTTATTTGACAAAAGATTGATAATTTCTCGTGGATTCTAGCTTACCATTAATTACAACTGCAAGTTCAGGCTAGTTATATTGTCTCCTTTTAATGGTTGATGATCATTTATAATCATTATTAGTTCCTATTGTAGTTGTTTTTTTGCAGGTATGGTTGATGGTATGCAATTGATCTAAATGGAAGGAGTTGTTGGCAGCAAAACCCAACTACAGTATGGTACTCTACTATGCTGCGGATAGGTCAATGAACAAAGAATCCTTGTAGAAGTTTATTGATGGGACAAATATATTTAGAGATTCGAGATTCAAGTTATAAGCATTTTATCATGTAAATAATATTACTTTGGATCATGATTGATATTTATAGAAAATTTTGCAAGAATTAGCTTGGTTCTTGATTTATTTATAATGACCAGAGTATTTGTAACCCACTTATAGTCACCATTTCATGATTTTCTTTAGTGACAGTTTTGAGTTTGTGCAAAAATTTGACTCTCTCTCTTTAGTGACGAGTCTGAGTTGATTGCAATTGATTTCGTGACAAATTAAGCAAGGGTTTTAACCCTTGCTAGTTAGAGCAACGAATTTAGCAGGGGGCTTAACCCCTGATACAAACATCTAATTGTTGGATTTTATATTGAATTGTAGCAGGGGTTTTAACCCTTAGTACGTGTAGCAGGGGTTTAAACACCTGCTACAACCCTTGGACGAAACTTTCACCGTGGGTTGCTAAAACCCCTTGCTACATGTAGCAGGGGCAGCATAGGTGAGGGTTCATGCAAGAGTTGGTGAAACCCTTGCTACAACTCGTAGCAGGGGTTAAAACCCTTGCTATAGATAGAAAAAACCCTTGCCATAGCCACTTTTTTTTGTAGTGCCACCTGGGCAGGATCTAGACCACCCAATAGAATACGGGGTCGCGTAATCCCAGCTAGGTGGGAGCCCATGATTCTTCAACTGGCGAAGAACTTGAGATGCTTTATAGACGGCTTCATATGGAGGTCCTTGTAGGTATATAAAACCTGGCACCTCCTCGCCTTCCCACATAAAAGCTGGTTTTCGATCTGGTACCAAACGGTTTTTTACTTCAAATCTAAGCCCGGATATGAGATTGGATTGTTAGCTATCCGGTCGAGTCCGGTCCCAGTCCGGTTTCGGGTAAAACCAAACGGTCTGGACCAAATAGCCAGCCCTAAGGTTTAGGGCGCTTGACCTAGCATTTAATGCCCTAAACTTTCATCTAACTGAGTATAAATTCTCCATGAGAGCATTGATGGTAACTCAACTACTTCCTCTCTCGCTGAACCTAACAAATATTCTTACTTATCTCTCTAACTTAAACTTCGGAGAGTGTCCTTGGCGACCACCCACAAACCCCTGTTTTGGAGGGTTCCTGGATTGCCTCCCATCATAAAGAACAGACATCACTCGTGCTTCATAAAACCAGCTAGTAATTTCTAGGCACAAACACTTATCATCATTCAATTCCCCCTCCTCCTGTTTGTTTCCCGGGAAGAATTCTCCAACCAGTGCGCCTCAGAATTCGAAGTCCCCTTTGATTTCAACCCGAAGAGCGCAGAGTTTGGGGCTCTTATGAATATGATAGTTGGGTTCATGAAGTAGGGTTGTTGCTTGGGCTGCACGGCGAACTTTGGTCGGAGGTTGAAAGAATAATCAATCGGGTCTTTTGTGAATATTTGATATTTCTGTATCAATCTGGGTTTGGCTCGTTCAATTGAGTCATGATTCGTTTTGTTTTTCCTTGTCCTACGAGTTATTTCACATCAATGACTCCTGCAGACGTCCCCTTAATGTTGTTGTGATAACCTTATGTATATAACCAACTTCTTTCGATGTTTTTCATTGCTTTCTTTTTGTTATCTATGTATGAACAATTGACATTTTAACAGTTTTGAATTGGGTAAGACATTAAAATATAGCAAAATTAAAAGTCGGACAAAGTGATCATTTCGTTACGAACTGAGAAACTAATTAAGTAATTAGTTTGATGCATGTGGAAGTTCAGTTTTAATTTTGTTGCATCATGGATAGTTTTAAAATTGCATTTAGGTTGTAAAACCCTCTTGATTTGAAACAACCGTCACCGTTAGGCAGATATGCATTATTTGACAATTCTATAATATATTTCATCAAGCAAATTTCACAAAAAAAAAAAAAAATCATTAGCGGTCGTAGCAATTTGCAACAATGAATTTCTCATGGGATCGTACGTGTTTGTGTGGATGTTGTGCAAGTAGTCATTAGTCGTGCTGCATTAAACCCTGCAACTTTATAACATCAACCGAGTGTAGTTAGATAACACCTCTTAACTCTTTCTTACAGAGTCATCATTGTATATCTTCTCTTCTATCAAGCCCCTTCTATGCCTCTTAATAGCCCTCTGCAGAGGGAAGAGGAAGAAATTAAATACTCGTTCCTAATGAAAAGAAGTTATCAATCTAACAGTCTTTCCAGAGGTGGAACTATTAGTTAGAATTATTAAAGCACGAGCAACCAAAAATTTCCCAAAAAACAAAAAACACTGTTCATTACGAGAAAACCGGGTGCACTGTTCACGAAAAGGCTTGGTGTGTACTTACCATGGGCGGATCAAGCATGGTCGTTGATGTGAGTTTTAGATTGTCAGATGCTAGAGCTCACAAAATACAGTTGCACCTGATCGAACGCCTACACTTAAAAAAGAATACAAAAGTGGTGGGTCCCCGTATGTCGCCTGACTACTCATTCCATCCCTAAAATCCAACTATTTCCCTTTCTTCTTCGATTCAATTTCGTCTGGACAAGCTGGGGTCGGAGCTGCATGGAAATCGAAAACTCAGTGACTCACTCATACTGTCACTCTCGAAAATGGCCAAGTGTAACCACTTCCTAAAGCGTAGTATAGCGGGTTTGGGTTTTAATGTCAATCGGGGTCCTAGATGTGATGACTACTCAGCGAATTCTTATTATCTAGCGATGAAACTTTAGTTCAAGTTCAAACAAGCAAACAAGTAAAGCAAGCCATTAAACGGTTGTTTTCAAGTCAAGAGAGGTCACCCGGATATGGTTCCGCTTAGACTGCAGTTAAGCCGGATTGCAATTTACCAAGTTCAGTTCCTATAATAGTTATACTGTGGGAGGTTCTTAAACAGTCTGAAGTCTCGACTAAAGGTCTCCAGACCCTCTCAATCTGAGTCCCCAGCGGGCGACTAACCTCCACCGGAGTAAACAGATTGAGGCCCTAACAAAACCAAACCTCCACTACCGAAGTAAATTCGGTACAGAATAGTGAATTGGCTCCGCGACTAAAGTCGCCAATTCACTACCTTCAATTAAGGGTGCTCTATTAACCTAGGTAGATATTCTCTTTCTAGGCTAAAGCCGAAATAACAGAAATTTGATCAGGATTCAAGTCATTCAATCATTCAAGCCTCAATTGAATATAATCAAATCATAAAATCTGTACTTGGGTTCATACAATCAGACCTAACATACAAATCTCGGGTTCTCCATACCCAGATGAATGGGAAAACTACTCCATGGAGAGAGAAGCAAAAGCAGATTCAGATGCGGAAACATACTGTGAAGGATGGGTTTCTGCTGGTGGTCGTCAATCGGCACTTCTCCAAGCTCAAGCCGGGCTCCAATGGTGATGAAGATCAAGCTAGGGCACTTGGGAACTCTGGTTCGTCGCTTTCTCTCTCTAGAAATTGCTCTGTCTCTCTAAAACTCGGAACTCCTTCTCTTTCGGCTCAAATCTTCCTAAAAGGGCAACCCTGGGCAAAACATGGTCGAGGGCACGACCGTGGTTTGGTTTTGCCCGCCCGTGTTTTGCCCCGTGTTAAAAACACGCCCGCGCGCGTCGACCAAAACACGGTCGTGCCTAAATATGGACACGACCGTGTTTTGATTTAGGTGCGCCCGTGTTTTTACTTTTCCATCAGTTCAGCTCTCGACAATAAAAACACTAATGTGCCTGTTTGTGTACACTGCCGTGTTTTGGTTTAGGCCAGCCCGTGCTTTGGCCCCAGCTCGAACGAATGACTTCCAAATGCCCCAAAACTCGTGCTTAGCCTTTCCTTCGACGTCCAGGACCTGAAATATGACAAAGTAGCACAACCCGGCGTAAAACGGGCCAAAAATACACGACTACTAGCTGCAAACGGATAAGAACTAAGGGTGCAAACATGTGCAAATACATCACTATCAAATTCCACCACACTTAACCGTTTGCTTGTCCCCAAGCAATCCTAACTCAAACCAATGCAACTCTCCAGACCTCTATAGCAACAAACAACCCCAATCGTCGGTAGAGGATTTTCTAGATCATATAGTAGCTTACGAGGTCAACTGGTCTTCTAAGACGTTTCCTATCTCTCTCATGCGAGTACTAGACTCAAGCCAGGATCATGAGAAGAAGTAGAAGTAAGACAGTCAGTTCATGGATAAAGGGACTCATGTCATTCTCAACCAAGGACTCGTTGTACCAGGGTGCTCTTTTCACTTCATTTCACCGTTGGAACCCCTTTTTCACTTTCATTTTACTTTTTTTTTCTTTTTCATTCACTTGGCGGGGGTTCCAACTGCAGTCTCTTACACGGTCGACCCTTATTAGTCGGGCAAGAGCAATTTCTGTACATCTGGCGCTCGCCAGAGTACTTCTTTTAACCCCTTTTCCTCAACTAGTGTGGATGGTCAATGAAATTAAGGGGGGCCGGAAGCTCTATCCGTTCCCTTAAAAACACATCCTCAAGTAGGCAAACCGTTCAACGGGTGGAAGTTTTACTTGTACTAGAGACAGCTTAGCTTCACCTTGTAGGAGTACCCCACTAAGGATCACTAAAATCTCTTCTAAAACCCGATTTTTGTGCAATTAACGGTGCCGCACACGTTGGGATTACACCATGTTTAAGATTTAAAGATTTTGACATGGAGGACCAATTGCATTTCATTTTTCACATGAGTCCCCTGTTCGATACACGAGTCCATAACACAATCCAAATAGAGTCACCATTATCACATGAATTCAACGGTCTTAGCTCCAATAATTCACAAAATCAACTGGCACAGCAGAGAGCTAGATAGGAAAAATCTTATAATTCAACATCCTCCATAGTGCTACACTACCTCCCTAGGTTGCACATTACTATAGAGATTGTCAATTCAAAGCATACCGAGCAGGCAATTTGCAAGGAAACACGTGCTTGGAGCCCTCAAATTTAAAAATTTGGACAGTGGACTAGGCTCCAAGCACACAAACAGATCTAATGCAGTCAAAAGAGAAACATCCCCCACACTTAAGATTGACATTGCCCTCAATGGAGAAGAGGGAAGGATAAAGGGGAACAATGTTACCGGTGTGCACGGACTACATGAGACTGGAAGCTCACCAGTCTTAGCGAAGAGGACGGGAGAAGGGACCAGTCAGGGACAGAGTAAAGCTAAAAGGAACAAAAGAACTCAAACACAATATGCTAGGTCCAACGGTCAGCCCAATAATACATCATCCAAAACAAAAGAAAACAAACCAAAACCAAACCAGTTTATAATCCGACTTAAAACAAAAGAAATAAATGAAAACCATGGTGGGGTTGCCTCCTCACAAATGCTTCTTTACCGTCTTTTAGCTGGACGCCCATGGTGGATACTCAGCGGGGAGCAGGAGCAGGTTCCCCCAAGAGCGGATCCACATCGCTCTTAAGGTACAGCTTCAAATTGCGGCCATGCACCAGACAGGTGCAACCACCAGCATCGGTCAGCTCGACCTGACCATCCGGCAAGATGCAGGCGAGGGAGTACTCGGATGGCCAGGGTGGTCGTGGTGCAGGAGGTGGGACCAGCTCATAGTGGTCTCCACCTTTCTTCCGTGCAGGCTTAGCCACCTATCGCTTCGGCTGCCACTCCTCCTTGAGCTTTTTATTGGGAAGTGAGGTTGCCGGGAGTGGCGGCGAAGGCGTGAGAGGGGAGTCCTGCAAAACGAGAGGCACAGAGGGGTACACGACAGCAGGCATATCACAATGATCAAGGTCAGCCACAGAAAATGTAGCATGTGCATTCCCAGCACGCAGGATCAGTTTACCACTATGCACATCAATTAGTGCCTTGGCGGTGGCAAGAAATGGTCTACCCAGAATCAAAGGCACATCCACATCCTCATTTATATCCAGAACAACAAAATCAACAGGATACGTGAATGCGCTTACTTTAACAAGCAGATCCTCTATGATACCCCTAGGATGCACAATAGAGCGATCAGCTAACTTAATGCTCATCCTAGCAGGGCTAAGTTCACCTAGGTCTAGCTTTTTAAACAGATTGTATGGCATGACATTTATGCTAGCGCTTAGGTCCGCCAAGGACTTCCCTACATGCATGCTACCAATATTAAGAGGGATAGTGAAACTCCCTGGGTCTTTGCGCTTTTCGGGCAGCTTGTTTTGCAAGATGGCAGAACACTCCTCGCTCATCATCACTGTCGAAAGATCCCCAAGTTTCTTCTTGTTGCTGAGGAGATCCTTCATGAACTTGGCGTACTTGGGCATCTTCGACAGTACCTCCATGAAGGGTAGGCTGACATCGAGCTGCTTCAACATTGTCATGAACTTGGCAAACTCAGTCTCCAGCTTATCTTTATGTAGTCGAGTGGGGAAGCGAAGCTGCGGTACATGCTCCTTAACCACTGGTTGTGGCTTGGGAGCAGGGGCTTCCTTGTCCACCCTCACTTCTACATCATCGGCTGGAAGTGCTGAAGCAGGCAGTGGCTCGTCCTCCCTAGCCTGGGAAGGTACCACCGATGTGAACTTGCCACTCCTGGTGGTGATGGCATTCAGCTGCTGGTTGAGTTCCCGTGGATTGGGATGGTAGTGGCAGGTAGAGTTCCCGGGGCCCGAGTATTAACTTGGCGAGCCATGCTACCCATCTGGTTCTGTAAATCTTGCAAAATGGCACCTTGGTTCCTCTGGCCTGCCTCCAGTGAGGCTATGCTCTAGTCCATCCTCGTGAAAGTTGCCTGGGTGGTAGTCATGAATGCCGCTAGAATGTTTTTCAGCTCCGTCATCTAAAGTTGGAGCTGCTGCTGACTCGACATACTGATGCTGAGGCTGCTGCTGAGGAACCGGCCCCTGTATATCCTGGAAAGGCTGCCTTTGCTGAAAACCACCTGCTGGTGTTGGGAAACCAGGTGGTTTAGTGGTGTTTCTATTCCAAGCGAAGTTGGGATGCTGGTGCCACCCCTCATTGTATGTATTGCTGTAGGGGTCAAAGCGCCGAGCATTCGCGATGAAGTCCAACTGCTCTTGGGGAGTAGTTGACTCCCGCATAGCCCGGCAGTCTTCCACCAGATGATTTGAGCTCTCACACCACTGACATTGAGCTATTGGAGGTGTAGCCAAACCTCTGCCCGGAATAAGACAGTTGGGCTGCTTCAATGTCTGCACTAACTCGGCCACCTGCTGCTCGAGCCTGGACCTGGCCTCCATGGCGTGCACACCACGATCCATGTAAATACTGCCTCTGGTGCTCTGCCCCCAGGAATGATCTCTAGCAGCCAATGTACTGATCATCTGGTTCAGTTCGGGTGGGGTCTTAGTAAGAATGTCCCCTCCTGGGCATAGAGACTCAATCACCCTCTGGTTGTCCGGAGAGAGAGCACTGTAGAAGTTCCCCACGGTGAATGCATCACTGAAGCCATGATGGGGACACTGCCAAAAAAATCCCATGCATCACGAAGGGACTTGTCTGGCTCCTTGCGGAAGTGAGTGATCTCCCGCTGGATCTCTGTGGTCTTTGATGCCAGATAGTACCTGTGCACGAACTTGTCAGCCAGGTCGTCCCAAGATATGATGGACAATGGGGGCTGGGTCTCCTACCACCTCTTAGCATTCCCTGCCAGAGAATGGGGGAAGAGGTGAAGGCGGATTGCATCATCAGGGACACAGTTTAGCTTGAACCCGTTCGTCAGCTGCAGAAAATGGGAAAGATGTACCCTCGCCTCCTCATCCTTCAAGCCATGGAACTGGATAGAGGATGTAATGAGTTGAATCCAGCATGGCTTGATCTCAAAGTTGTTCGCTGGAATGGGCAGATAGAGGATGACAGGGCGGATGTCAGCAATCCGTGGAGTGTAGTAGTACTCCAAGGTGGGACCCGGCGGCGATGGATGATGATGAACCCCATCTTCCTGGGGTATGGGGTTGTTCCCCAAGATCTGATTCGCATGGGGTACCTGGTGAGGATTCCCCTGTTGTGGATTGTGATCTCTTTCCATCTCGTACTCGTTCTCGGACTCGCTGCTCAAATGGCCGTCTATGCGCTCCTCCGTAGCCAGTCTAGCTCGCCGTTGTCTCCTGAGTTGGCGACAGGTGCGTTCAAGCTCCGGATTCAACGGAAGTAAACCTCCCGACTGGCTACGGGTCATGCACTACCTGCACACAGTCAAGCAGCAAACCCGTGAAGGCACAAGTGGGACAAAGCAAACAATGCGAAAAGGAAAGCTAAATTAACAGAATTCCCGTTTCTTCAACAACCTAGCCGTCCCCGGCAGCGCCGCCAAAAACTTGACTCACTTCTACTATCACTCTAGAAAATGGCCAAGTATAACCACTTCCTAAAGCGTAGTATAGCGGGTTTGGGTTTTAATGTCAATCGGGGTCCTAGATGTGATGACTACTCATCGAATTTTTATTATCTAGCGGTGAAACTTTAGTGCAAGTTCAAACAAGCAAACAAGTAAAGCAAGCAATTAAACGGTTGTTTTCAAGTCGAGAGAGGTCACCCGGATATGGTTCCGCCTAGACTGCAGTTAAGCAGGATTGCAATTTACCAAGTTCAGTTCCTATGATAGTTATACTGCGGGAGGTTCTTAAACAGTCTGAAGTCTCGACTAAAGGTCTCCAGACCCTCTCAATCTGAGTCCCCAGCGGGCGACTAACCTCCACCGGAGTAAACAGATTGAGGTCCTAACGAACCAAACCTCCACTACCGAAGTAAATTCGGTACAGAATAGTGAATTGGCTCCTCGACTAAAGTCGCCAATTCACTACCTTCAATTAAGGGTGCTCTATTAACCTAGGCAGATATTCTCTTTCTAGGCTAAAGTAGAAATAACAGGAATTTGATCAGGATTGAAGTCATTCAATCATTTAAGACTCAATTGAATATAATCAAATCATAAAATCTGTACTTAGGTTCATACAATCAGACCTAACATACAAATCTAGGGTTCTCCATACCCAGATGAATGGGAAAACTACTCTATGGAGAGATAAGCAAAAGCAGATTCAGATGCGAAAACCATACTGTGAAGGATGGATTTCTGCTCCTGGTCGTCAATCGGCACTTCTCCTAGCTCAAGCCGGGCTCCAATGGTGATGAAGATCAAGCTAGGGCACTTGGGAACTCTGGTTCGTCGCTTTCTCTCTCTAGGAATCGCTCTGTCTCTCTAAAACTCGGAACTCCTTCTCTTTTGGCTCAAATCTGCCTAAAAGGGCAACCCTGGGCAAAACACAGTCGAGGGCACGGCCGTGCTTTGGTTTTGCCCGCCCGTGTTTTGCCCCGTGCTAAAAACCCGCCCGCGCGCGTTGGCAAAACACGGTCGTGCCTAAATATGGACACAGCCGTGTTTTGATTTAGGCGCGCCCGTGTTTTTACTTTTCCATCAGTTCAGCTCTCGGCAATAAAAACACAAGCGTGCCTGTTTGTGTACACGACCGTGTTTTGGTTTAGGCCAGCCCGTACTTTGGCCCCAGCTCGACCGAATGACTTCCAAATGCCCTGAGACTCGTGTTAGCCTTTTCTTCGACGTCCGGGACCTGAAATATGACAAAGTAGCACAACCCGGCGTAAAACGGGCCAAAAATACATGACTACTAGCCGCAAACGGATAAGAACTAAGGGCGCAAACATGTGCAAATACATCGCTATCACTCAACAGCCTCGATTTCTTCACTACCGCCAGAGGAGTCTAGGAGAAGAGGAGAATGCAAGCTCCATTACGTGCAGACGGTGAGTCTACACCCTTATAGCTTCCCACGGTTCTTCCAGTTGTGTTCCTTCTTCTTGATGTTAAGGGTTTGAGATTTAAGGTTCAATTCCAGAAGAGAATAGCATTGGCGAGTGGCGGCCCTCATTGGGTTTCAAGAGTTTGGGATTCGAGGTTCGTTCTTGAAGAAAAGAGTATTGGCGACCCTCATGGGGGTTTCATTGATGAGATGTTCTGGACATCAAATCTTTTGAGGGACGACTCTGTGACGGTAAATTATAATTCAATTGATTGTTTTTTCTTTCTTAATTACTCAATACTTTTCTCCAACTGTGACGTAATGAGCATAGCGCTATGTTTTCAATTCATATCTTATTGTTGCAATATATTGGCACAAGGTGAGTTTGATGATAAGTAACAGTTCAATTAGTTTTAATTTAGAAGACCCAAGCAACAGATTGGGGTTGTTGGTTGTTCTTTGAGATAATTTCAGTTGGTCAAAGCTTGGCATCAAAGATTCAGTTGAGTAACGAATCATCAATTTGTTATCTTTCTTTATGTTAGAAGCTAGACCTAAGTTGATTGCATTCTGCAACAAAATGTAAAGCCAGTTTCAGTCCCAAATTAAAAGGATTGGGAGTGACCAAAGGAGAGAATTTCAAATGGAAAATTTTATGAATCTAGTGGGATAGTTCATGAGATGTCCTGTGTTAAACACCACAATAGAATATCAAAGTTGAGAGAAAAAGCATAAGCATATCCTTGTTGTTGCTAGAGCTCTAAAGTTCTAGGCTAATCTGCCACCTGGATTCTGGGCTGACTGCGTTAAACACACAGTTTATCTCATTAACAAAGTTCATTCTTCAGTTCTAAACAATCAAACTCCTCATGAAAAACTTCATACCACGCCACCTGATTTGATTGACTTGAAGGTGTTTGGCTGTTTATTCTTTGTGTCTATTATAGTCAATCACATAACAAAGTTCAAACTTAGAGCTAGAAAATGAGTCTTTCTGAGTTACTTAGGAGGAATCAAATGTTACAAAATCTATGATATTGCCACACATGATGTTTTTGTTTCCAGAGATGTCATATTCTATGATCTCACTTTCTCTTCAAAATCATTCACCAAACTGCCACAGACAATTCAGACTCATATATTTTCTTTCCTCTACCAACTTCTACATCTCCTATCTTTGATGATACTCCTCCTAATCCACCATCATAGTTTCCCCAACCACAAATCATTCCTTCTACACATATTGACTCAACTCCAACCCAATCCAATGATAACTATTCCCCTAGTTCCTCACATTCATCCCAGACTTCTCATACAAATCCTTCTCCGGAACCAAGTCTGCCACAATCACCAAACAATAATCCTCCAGCTCTTGAAAAATCTGATCAACATACATAAAACCACCTGCTCACGTGGACCAAAACTATCATTGTTACCTGTTCCAACAATCTAGCAGCATAAGTCATTCCCTTCAGTATCACATTCTAGACACAAGGTATACCCTTTCAACTATCATTTCTTATGATAAACATACCCCATTTCCCAGAAAGTTTGTTATCAGTATTTCATCCTATCATGAACCAACACATACAAGGAAGCCTCACAATTAGATGAATGGAACAAAGCCAGAAAACATGATATCAAAGCACGGATTCAAAATCAGACATGGGATGTGGTTAACTTACCTCCAGGAAAAAGGTTATAAGAAATAAGTGGGTTTATCGTATCAAATTTCATCAAAATGACTGCTGTCAGAACCTTGCTAGCCATTGTCACTATGACAAATTGGCATATTCATCAACTTGATGTTAACAATGCCTACCTCCATGGTGATCTCCATGAGGAAGTCTATATGACCTTACTCAAAGGTTATGATCCCCCACCAGGATTTGACAATCCTGTCTATCATCTTAGAAAATCATTATACGGCCTCAAACAAGCTTCCAGACAATGGTTTTCCAAATTAACTGATAAGATGCAACATGTTGGTTACATTCAAAGCAAGGCATATCACTCTTTGTTTTACTAGGAAACTTATTCTAGTAATACTTGCATCTTAATCTATGTTGATGATCTAGTTATTGGAGGCAATGACTTACCGACATTTAAGAATTGAAAGAAGTTCTTCACTTTGAGTTCAATATCAGAGATTTGGATACCTTGAGATTCTTCTTAGGGAAGGAAGTAGCAAAAAACAAGCAGGGCATTCATTTATCCCAGAGAAAATATGCACTCGAGATCATAGAAGAGGAAGATTTATTGGATTCTCGACATGTATCTACACCAATGGACTAAAAAATACATCTCAACAATCAATGTGACACACCCTATGAAGATCCAGAGCATTATAAAAATCTTGTTGGCATGCTGATTTATCTAACAACAACTAGGCCGACATTAGCTTTGCCACACATTAAGTAAGTCATTAAATGGGCAATCCTAGCATCATTCACTAAAAGGTCATTCTCAGGATCTTAAGATACTTGAAATCAACTCTTGCTATAGGAATTTTTTTCTTGAAGGTCAATTCAACTGAGAGCTTTCTCATACTCGGATTGGGCATCATGTGTTGACACAAGGCGCTCAATTACAGGGTATTGTGTTTACCTTGGTAATTCCTTGATTTTATAGAAAATTAAGAAGCAACAGTCAGTCTCCAGATCTTCTTGCGAGGCAGAATATATACCCATTTCCTTTACTGCTTGTGAGGTTCAATGGTTGCTCTACATGTTGTGCGACTTTCAGGTGCTTCATCCTCAGCTGACAAATATCTAATGTGACAATCAAAGTGCTATTTACATTGTTGAGAATCAGACTCTCCACGAGCACACAAAGCACATCGAACTCGATTGCCATCTCACCTGTGAAAAGCTTCAAGCCAAAATTCTCAAGCTGCTTCATATTTATCAAGGAAGAAGGAGATCCCTTGTGTCGTCGTTTCCATATCTTTTCTCTTGAATTTTCCACTTACTCACTAAGCTGTCGTTATCTCATCTTTCCTTAGTCTTATTTTGCTTGAGGTTTGAGCTTTTTTCCAGTCCAAGCTAACGGACAAAATGTGTAAAGCTGGATTGTCTTATTGTATCTTGATCCAACTTATAAAAGGCATGAGATTAATGAGAATGGATCAAGGTATAGGGTTTTCTAGGGTTGGCTATACAATCCGGTCCGGTTAAATTGGCCCAAATTGATCCAGTCCAGGCCCAAATTGGCTATAAGAACCGAAGATTGGATTGGATACAGTCCGGTCTTGATCCGGTCCGGTTTTGATCCGGTCCGGTCCCAATTCGGTCTTGATTTTACATTGAGATTGTGGGATTTGAGTGGCCTAAGGCCTTAAAGGGTGAGGAGTTGGTTAAGTTTTGTACTAAGTGCAAAGGTTTGTGACCGTTTATGCAAATTACCCTTAAGTTTTTGGTGTTGAGCTCTCTTATCCGGTCTTTATCCGGTAAAACTCTTGGACTCCCGAATTTGGAAAGGCAGGTGTTTATTGCTGATCTTATCAAGTACGGGATTGGCTTCGATAAGCCAGCACCTAATAGAGCTTAGCCATGTGTAGATCGAAAAGGTCTCGCGAAGCCGGCCAACGTCTGGTAGAGTAGGAGCCAACAAAGGAAGTCATGTGCTTTGTGGCCTCTGTATCGAGATAGCACTTTGGATTTGCATAGATATTATTATGGGAGAAGTTGATCGTTAAAATGATAATTGATACAACCGAAGTACAAGCTATCAATTCTTTTTTCAGATTGGAAGCCTTAAACGAATCTCTTCTTCCTGCTAACGAGCCATCCTTTGCTAGCTAGGGAATGCTTTCTCAATCCTTTGTTTGAAAGGTCCGCTCTCTTCGGGCAGGGCGGGGCTACGATTGGCAAATTCCTAACCTCCGAGATCTCCAAATCCAATCGAGTACCCTATCTTTCCCAGTAGTCCATACACAAATGGAATTTGCGGACTTCGGCCATAACATAATCGACAAATGCAAGATGTGCTCCTACAAATAAAAGGAGTTCAGTTATAGTAGATTAATAAACAATTTGTATAAGGGACAATTGCTCCTTAATCGTAAAATACTTGCACAAATAACTATATTAAATAGGAATTGTCTTTATATGATTTCTAATGACATCTTCAACAATACCTTATGTAACGACTGAACCCGTAGCTGCTTTCTTTTGATCGTGTGAGTGATGTACACCTCTTACCAAAAACAAGTCATTTATGGATATTATCGGGGTGTTCTCGTGGATTCAGTATAGTTCCTTTTTCACTAGATTTTTCATAGTCATTACTCATTGTAAAGTTGGACGGGCCTATGAGGATTTTCAGAGGGTTGGGCTGATAACGCCAACTACTCATGTATTGGATTCGAACCAATACCAAGCTACTGTTCCTTTTTTAGTAGACCATGAGGTATGAGATTAGCTTTTGATTGCTCGCTACGCCCCACTAAAAAAGTGTCGTCTGCGCCGAAATCCCGAACTTCAAAAAAAGTAAGAAATTCGCTTTTTCACGGCTATTATACATTACATTGTCGGAATCGACCTCAAATCTAAGCCCAAAGATTGGATTGGATTGTTTACTATCCGGTCCCGGTCCAGTCTCGGTCCGGGTTATACGGTCCGGTTTCCGGTTTTTAATTCGGTCCCGGTCCAAATAGCCACCCCTAGGGTTTTCAACACACTAAATCTGTTGTTACCAAGTCCAACGATAAGGAACCCATCACAATGGGGCGAGCCCGGATGCTACATAAATACCTATTCCCTTCCCGTATCTAGTGCGTGTCAAGTTAACTATATGTACAATTATGAATCGAGGCAGGACCATCAATTTTTATATTTAATTTACTATTTTTTATCCATAAAACGATAAAAATATATTTCATATATAGAAATAGATTAATTGTGTCCATGGAAACTAGATATCCATACCCCTCTAGTACCAAGTGTAGGTCAGGTCTGAGAATTTCTATGAAAGTACGTATTGGGACAGATAAACCTATTCATATATTTTATTAGAAGAAAATATTTAGTTATAACGATAAACCATAGAGAAGTAATCCATCAATGAGATAGAGATAATAAGTAGATTAGTTTTATCCAATTAATTGTAAGATGAAATCTTTCACTTGTCTAGAGTAAACTGGATAAAATATGATTTAAAATAGACGAAACATAACAAAAATAGAAATTGAGACAAATAAGGTAGAGAGATAGTGAGAGATGAGAGAGAGAACGCAAGGTAAGAGATAGTGAACAGCCTCCCCCCTCAATTTGTTCGCAAGGCTTGGAGCGCTTCTAAGAGGGTTAGCGTATAGGGTTTGGGTAGATCTTGCAAGGGTTTGTCTTCTGTGTGCAGGTACCAGGCATCAGTCATTGGCAGCAGCAGGTGCTCGAAAAAAGAGTGCTTTCGTCAAACGCGAATGAGACCAAAGATCGTATCAATCAGAAAGAGAGGTACAAGCTACACTTCTTTGTACAGATTGGAAGCGAAAGAAGGAAGAAGAAGAAGAAGATGGTTCGTTGTAATAATGAATCTCAAATCATTTGGCTCCAAGGGGTTCTCCAAACGACTGCAATGAGAGATTGGCGATTCCATGTCGGATGTGTCAAGTAGAATGGCGAACGGGTGCCACACGTTGGCAGGACTACGAACCGGAGTGGCTCTTTTTTGCATATCTCTGAAAAAGGTCCAAAGTGGGAAGGTCTTCAAGATCATTGTCACATGCCACGATGGTAGAGATGGTTGGCACGTTCAACTGCCCTGTTGCAGGAGTTTTACAGGTTGGAAAACCAGCTCTGATCCGCTCGTTTTTAGATGCCGCACAGAATCAGACGCTACCCTCCGCTCCTATCCTTGATTCACCATCCATGGCAACTCGGTCCTATGTTGACGTTGTTAAAGGTGGAGGATTCTATGGCGCTAGAAGATGCGACATCAAAACCGGCAGCCATGGGCAATTTATTGAAGTTGTGCTGGAGGGGATTTCAGAGAAGTAAAATCTCTTAGGAAGAAGCTTGGTGGTTAAGTTCACTGACACGCTACGACACAACACCTAACAATGGCCAAGTGTAACCAATGGAAGGGACTGCAGTATAGTGGTGCAAGTAATAAATATCGAATCCTCGGGTCTCTAGATGTACTATTACTCAGCTTCAGTTCATTATCTAGCAAATCAGATTAAGGATTGATTAACTAAACTACTCTACTAACTAAACTAAGCAAAACTACTAATTACAGTTTGGGAACTCGCTTAGGTATGATTCCCCCTAACTCCTCAATTAGGTCCAAGTTGTAATTCCTTTAGGTTGTTTTACTGTTGATTAAACTGCGGAAGATCCTAAATTAGCTTGGAATCTCTTAAGCTGACCAAGCCCTCTTAGACAGAATACACGGCAGGCGACTAGCCTTTACCGGGATAGACTGTTAAGGCGATTCACACAGATATCCACTATTGGAATGAATTCCAGTACAAAGCAGTGAATTGACTGACTCTCGCACAACCAATTCACTACTATCAATCAATGAAGCTCTCTTAACCTAATCAGATTCTATCTATCAAAGGTTAAAGCAGAAATCAAGAGAATTTGATCAGGATTCAATTGACTCAATAAATCATGCCTCCATCGATTCTAATCACACAATATAGCATCCAAAACTTCATACAAGCAAGATCCCTAACACATGGAACTAGGGTTCTTCATACCCAAGTGAGAGAGATTTCTACTCCATAGAGAGAGAGAGAGAGAGAGGGATACAGAATACAAAGCAGTCATACTCATAACAATGGGAAGAATCTGTCTGGGATGATGATCTTCACTCCAAGGATGATTTCCAAGCTTGATTGATGAAACCCAGCTCTAAAACCACTCTTAGCGGGTGTTTTTCACACTTTCTCTCTCTAGGGCTCTGTTTTTGCTCCAAAAAGTCAATTTTTCTCTCCTTTAGCCCAGAAATTCCCGACCACACGGCCAGGCCACACAGCCGTGTGGCTTTCCCAGGCTGCCCGTGTGAGTGTCAAAACGCGGAGTTTCGATTAAGTGACTTCAGCCATCCCACACGGCCACAACCACACGGCTGTGTGGATTTCCAGGCTGCCCGTGTGAGTTCCCTGGAATTCCCACACGGCCACATGGGCTCCCTTACACGGCCAGTGTGACTTGCCCGTGCAATTTGGTGTCACACGGCCAGGTCACACGGCCGTGTGGGTTTTACGCGTGCCCGTGTGGCTTCCCCAGCTTCTCGCCAAATGTCCCATCTTCGTCCAATCGATCCCGAACTGGTTCTCAAACCTTCCTTCACGTACTAGGACCTGAAATATCACAAACAAGAACAACCTAGCGTGAAATCGGCCTAAAACAAGAGAGGTAAGACTCAAACGGTGTAAGAATGGTGGACAAAAACATGTGTATATATCAAGTCATCATTCACCTCCTCCAACTTGGAGATGTTCACGAAGAGTTATGTGTCAGAATTCAAGCATTGGGGACAAAAGAACTGGGTCATTGATGACAGTTTTGGATTTGAAGAGTTGGGAGATGGAAGATGGCTCCTTGTTTGCCCAAGTTTACAAGAAACCTTGCGTATTAATCAGTTAAGCCACACCAGGTTCAGGGAGTTGCATATCACTTTTTCTTATTGGAATGATTCCCTCGACACCACGACACCCACGTCGAATGATACCTGGATCATGGTCTTTGATATTCCAATTCATCTCAAAAGTGTTCACCTCTTCAAGGCCATCGGTGACTTTCGTGGAGGCCTGATCAAAATCAATTGGGTCTCTTGGTGCTCCCATGCTGCACGAATTAGAGTCCGAGCGTCTCGTGATATTCCGAACGAATTTCACTCTTCTTTTGTTCACAATGGTTCAAAATCAAGGTTTTTGTTCCGCCGACGGTGTCTCTTGTCGGAAAGCACCGCCGATCGTTGTTGATGAAAGGTGAGAACTGAAAAGGTCGTAACTCCAATTCCAAGCACTAAGGTATTGCTTGCTGACAACTGGCAAACCAGGAGCGGGACAGTTGCAACTTGGGTTCCGGATCTTCTGGAATAGTCTCCATGGACAAGCATACCGCTACCCATGCTAGGATTTCTCATATTAATTGTGATGGCTATGATTCTCACGTGCGTGGAGACAAGCGTGCAGAGCTTCAACCTAAAAAGACCATCTGGATAAGAAAATTTGGGCCCACCTGTCAGCCCACTTCCCCTCCTTGTCCGGCTCCCCCCCCACTCTCGCTGGTTTTGGCAGCTAGCCCTAAACTTTCGCCTACTACCACTTGGCCCAAATACCTTCTTTGTCCCAACCTGTTCAATCTGCTTCTTAACCCAATCCATCGACCCATCTCAGCCCCAATTCGCTTATCCATGTTGAGACTACCCACCTCTATCGAAAGTCTTCCATCCGAGTCGAGCCCTTCATCTCCCACTCAATCTAGCATTTCTTGTCTCATCTACCTTGTACCCTCAACCACGACTGGCCTCATCCCTGAACCCGATTACTACCCCTCCCCACCTTGTACACCAACCCAAACTCACTCACTGCCTTCTCACCCTCATGCCACGACATCTCAAGTGAATCCAATGGATTTTATATAGATCTACCATCACCATCCTGTGTCAACAAGAGTCCCAACCGCGTTTGGACTTTGGATTCTTTTCCCATGAATCTCGAAACGTTGGAAGAAGCATGTTTGGCTGTTGGGAAGCTTTACACTCTCGATCATGATGACGGGAAGGAAGAAGTGGATAAAGTCATCCTAATGAAATCACAAGGAATGCATAAAAGGAAATTGAGAGCCTCGCGATCCAAGCTCTAAATGGAGAAGAGACGCCTAGGTCCCATAGAAACGCTCCCAACTGGTCTGAGGAAGAGCAAAAGGAATGGTGGGTACCGCACCCGAAATCTAATGGAATCATCAGTTCTTGTCTGGAACATTAGAGGGCTTGCTGACTCTGAGAAGCAAGCCAGAATCAAACAGTTTATTGGCAGACAGAATTCGAAAATTGTGGGTCTTGTTGAAACTAAATGGTCACATTGCAACCGCGATACTGTGAGGAGAATCTGTGGGTATAGGGATTTTGATTGGGATGCCAAAAACTCTACTGGTAGTTCGGGTGGCATCGTCATTTATTGGGATCATTCCTCGCACAGAGCTATCACTAGGAGAGAAGGTTCCTTTTTTCTAAGTATTGAATTACAGGATGTTGTTTCTCTTAAAGCTTGGCATTTGGTAGTGGTCTATGGACCACATGAGAGAGAGGAAAAGTTTGATTTCTTGACGAACTCTATTCCTTCTGCAGTCAATTTGATGCTCCAGTTTGCATAATGGGGGATTTCAACCTTGTTCGCAGTCATGACGATTACAGGGGAAATAGGCGTGGTTCTACACTCATGGATGCTTCCAATGCTTTCATTGATGATAATACTTTATTGGACATCCCTCTCAATGATAGGAGATTCACATGGAGCAGGGGAGGTAATTTCGATAGCCTTTCAAGAATTGACCGCACTCTCATCTCATATGCTTTTGACGACATGTATCCTGAGAGCTCTCTTTTAGCTATAGAGCGTGTGGAATCGGATCATAGTCCGCCTCTCCTCAAATTGGGAAGCAATTTAAGGGTCATGAGGTCATGGAGATTCGTGAACATGTGGAATGAGGATGACCAATTTTTCACTGCTATGGACTCTCAACTGGCTCTTCCTTTGCAGGGGAGTGGTTCAATTTTCTTAGGGGCTAAAAGATTGCAGAATCTTAAAGGAAACATAAAGTGTGGAATAAGGAAGATTTTGGAGACATCAATGTCAGATCAATGAAATCCTCGCCAAGATTACTGATCTTGATAATAAGATGGAAGATGGACCTCTCTTTGATTCTGTAAAGAGCGAGAGGGAGTGTCTCAAATTGATGTGGCTAAAGCTCTTTATCTGCAGAAAATTCATTGGAACCAGAAATCTAAAGAATTGTGGCTGAGATTTGGAGATATGAACAGTCGATTCTTTCACAAGGTTGCCAACCACAATAGAAGATTGAAAACTTTTGAGTCTATCAAAATCCATGGCGAACACGTTGAAGGCTGGGATAATCTTGCTAACGGAATTGTTGATTTTTACATGAAGATGCTTCATGAAAATCTGAACAAACATTCCTTCCCACGAGACTACTGCGAGTCCCTTCTTCCTACAAATGTTGCCTCTATGCTCATTCGTCCTTTCTTGAAAATGGAAATTTGGTCATCCACCGCCAATAGTGATGGGGGAAAACTCCAGGACCAGATGGATTTACCTTGGAGTTTTACAAAAAGTGTTGGCCAAAATTATGAAGTAGTATTGTGCAAGCTTTTAATGAGTTTCATTCCACTGAATACCTTCCTAAGAGTGCAACTCACTCCTTCATATGTTTGATACAAAAGAACAAAACTTTTTATGTTCACTCCATGTCCAACTTTCTCCATGAAACAAATGGTGATCCGCACGGTCTATACTCTTATAGAGTACTTATAGTAGAATTTGCCATCTAATAAATCCAAGGAATCCGAAAATGAAGATGATATTAGAATGAGTGAGTCATATTTTAAGGATACAACTCTTAGCAAGAAATAACGAAGAAACCACCAAGTATAATTGGATAATTGAAAATTTAATAAAATGGCAAATGAACGGACAAACAATAGCTAGTTATGCCGCAAAGTCTAGTCTTAAATAAATTGGCACACTCTCACTTTAATGTCCCCAAAGTCTCTAGAACTTCCCTTGAATTTGCTGCACAATATTCTTGTCAACTTGGAACGCCTTTGCGAGAATGTCGGTGGATATGTCAGGCTTGGAGCCAAAGACAGCATTGCCAATGGTAATAACTCCTGGGTTTTGGCTATTCAATCCAGAAATCGTCACCGCATTCATGTGCCCAATATTTCGTTGGTAGTGAACCAACCCAACTGGGAACACAAATACATCTCCCTTCTGAAGGGTTTTGGAGATGAGGCGATTATCAGGATTTGATGTGACGAATCCAACTTCAAGAGATCCCTCGATTACTGTGATAATTTCAGTGGCTCTAGGGTGGTAATGAGGAACAACGACGCCCCATGGAGCATAGTCGATACGGACCATCGAGATTCCCAAAGTGTTGAGCGCTGGAATTTGAGCCACTGTGACAGGGGTTATAGCAGAGCCAAATGGGTTGCCTGTGTTGCCAGGATTGTGGAGCCCGCTGAAGGAGAAGTCGTTTGCCTGAACCCAAGCCGGGTTTTTGCAAGCGAACCCATTCAGTTTCACTGCAAATGTAGAAGCAAGCCAACCCAATGATAAAGATACATATCTTATGTTAATTAGAAAGTACTAGTCGAGTACCATGTCGACATATATGGTATGGAAATTAGTTACACACCTTGGTTGTTACTGTCTGCCACGCAGAAGTCCTGAAGAGATGCTGGGTCAGCGGCAAATGTGAGAAAACAGGAAGTGAGAGCCAGCAATAGGCTCAACAGAAGGACTACTTGAATATATGCCATCCCGAAATAGCCCAACAGATGTAGAGTACTGAGAAATGATAAGAAACAGTTCACACAAAGAAGCGAGAAAAAGCGATGTATGGGTGGATTTGATCTATGCCTAAGTATGCCGGTTGAAAGCTGTTTAAATAGAAGATCTAATCAGTAAACCGGGTACTGCTTACGGAATTAATTAATAAACAATAGTCTAGCCGGCAGTAACAATTTTCTGGTAATCTACGAGGCCATCAGCTGTCCTTTAGTGATTAGCTGAAATTTTGAAAGATAATAATGAAGTTGTCGCATATGGTAACAGTGCGTACTCATTATCCGTTTCCATTTTCCTGGTTCGGTTGTTCATACGAAGGAAAAGGCCAGGAAGCATGAAACAATAGCGGTGAATGCTTGGCAATCAACGTCGACGAACTGAACCGGTCAACAGATTCTTCGAGCCACTTCAGACCAAATTATATGATAGTAAGGTTTGGAAAACAGTTAATGGAAAGGACGGCTTGCGATTAGCTTTGATTTTCTAATGAATAACGATTATCGATTCCAAGGTTCGGCTTTTCAAACGAAAAGAAAAGGCCAGGAAGCAGTATTGAACTGGTCATAATTAGATTATTAAAGCCACCTCGTACTATGTGATGCATGTGAGCTAGGTTCCGAAAGCAGTTAATGAAATTGACGGCCTAAATTTAATTACTGAATTGCTATTCGTCGCCCTAAAATTTAAAAAAAATCGCCCTAAACCATTTTAGGTTGACGTTTATACCCCTATCTCCAATTTCGATTCCTAATCCTAACTTCCCCACCAGCAAATTTTGCCGCCGTTGCCGTCACCCAACCTGCCGCCTCTCCCATTCCCCCATTTGAGAGACAGCTCAATGAGGAGATCTCGCCAACTTCTCGTCTTCTATTCGTCTGCGGGATCGGTTGGGGTAATAATTTGGGGGAAATCCAAATGGAGAGTTTGGTAGTGGCGGAACAGAGGAGCGAGGCATTGGTGGTCGGAAAATTAAAGATGGATCCTCGTCGGCGGCGGTGGCGGATATTTCCTTTGCGTCCACTTAATCGTTTGTTCCTGCGGTGATGATGCAGCGGAGGATAGAGTTCCACCTGGCGAGGAAGCAGTACGGTGGACAGGGAATGTGTCGGGATTTCCGATCGAAATGCTACACCTTGATTCATCGAAGAGGGAGCTGACGACGACAATGTCGCGGCAGGTGGTGAAGAGAGGCGACGGGACGACGATGAATTTGTGGGAGAACGAGATCAGTAGCTAGCTTCGATATTACATTTCACCTATATCTGCAATTTTTAGCATTCAAGTTTTGATCCTTTTCCGTGCCTCTAATGTGGGTATGAGGTTTCCGATCTAATTGTGTACATGGCTACCTCGAAATGTTGAGCTAAGCTATTTATGGTAAGCTTGGAATCGAACTGAATCATGATCCTTACCTATTGGGATGAGTGAAGCTGTCCGGTCTGTGACAGGTAGCGGGTATAATTTAACAACTAAGGGTATTAGAGTAAATTTAATATAATTAGGGCGATGAATAAAGATTTTTAGGGCGACGAATAGCAATCCCCTTTAATTAAGGGCTAATACCATTACAACACCCGAACTATTGGAAAAATGCGACTTGTATCCTATTTTATTCAATATTCCTTTTCTATCCCGCCATATGATACTTTGTGCCATTTGTATCCTGACCATTTTGTTGACCGTTAAAAATAATGGTTAACCAAACGGCAGTCAAGCCAATGTTGACTTTTGCTGACGTGGTAGAAAATGTGGCATCCACGTCAGTAACATTTTCTTAATTCAAAATCAAATAAAAATACAAAAATCATTAAAATTACAAAAATAAAATCCCCATCGTCGCCTTCAACCCCCTACCCGCCTCGCTCTGCTTCGCCCTTCACCGGAGACAGAGCTCTTTGTTGCCTTCAAACCCTTCCCAGAATCAACATGATAACAACGATCTCTCTGCCTCTATCTTCCCCGGCGGCAACCTGCTCTCCAAAGCGACCTCGACATGGCTTCCTCAACTCTCTCCAGCTTTCTCCACAACCTCGATTTGAAGCTCAGATCCGGCGTCCTCCACCAGTCGAACACCATCGTTTTATCCCAGCCAGGGGTGGAATCGAAGAAGGAAGAGCTTGCGTTGTTTTTGAGAGATCTATTCACCATATTGCAAATCGGCGGGCTGGAATTCAAGAAGAAGGGGCACGAATCTCTGCTTCTCAACGACGATGAGAAGTCGGGAGTTTAAGTGTCGATGTTGACATCGTCTGCAAACGACTAATAGAGGAAGATTGTGTGTCGAGGAAGGTGGATTGGGCCAGCCGACGAGAGTTCCTGATTAGGCTATCTTTGCCCAAATTGTGCCTCAGATTTCTTCGATTTGGGGATAGGGAGCTTTGTTAATAAGCTTGCCGATTTCGATCCAAATATCTAGATATGCTTGCTTGATTTCCTTACTTCGACAACGACTATCTATTTCTCTTCTTTTGTTCTCCCTGATTTCCTCTGAGTCTCGCAAGATCGGAAAACCCATATTTGTAATGTTCATCCACCACCAGTCTATCAACCATATGAGTTCCAACCACAACATATCCTCCACCACTTTATTAATCATTTTATACAACCCACAAAACACGAGCTTCGCACAATAGCGAAGAAGAAGGATTAGAAGAATGAATGGATTTGAGAGCAACGACGGCGAGTTTAGAATAACAGGAAGATGAGGATTCCAAGGAGGTGAAGGAGCGGCGATGTCTGAAGGGTTTTTTTATTTCTATTTTATTTTGGATTTTGGAAATATTTTTTAGTGTTTTATTCTCTTTTTTATATTTTTATTTATTTATGTGAAAAATAAATAAAAACTAAAATTGAAAATTACATGTCAGATGCCACGTCAATGCTGACCAAATTTCTGTTAAATACTAAAGGTCAACACTAACGGAAAAATAGTTCGGGATATAAATGGAATATTGGATAAAATAGGAAACAAGTGGCATTTCTTCGATAGTTCGGGTGTTGTAGTGGTATTAGCCCTTTAATTAAAGAAACAACACACCTTGACCTTGTACACATTTTGCGGAATTCATTTGGCAATACAATTAAGGTATATATTTCACAATGGGTCATTTTGTTGACCCTGTAAGGGTCGGGACGGGTAGGGACAACTTAGGGATGGGTCAAGTTTTGATCCTGTGACCCTTAGCAATTACAAAAATATCACGCCACATTGGACCTTTTTTAAAGTTGTAAAATTTTATGTACTAACTTGTAAAAATAAAAAAATTTGGGTACCAAAATGTAATTTTACCATCAACATTTATGGACTTAAGTGCTAGACCGGATGACTCAAGTGGTAGACCCCATGGTGGAAGAGGTCGACCGCTTGAAGGTAAGTATGTCATTAGGTCGACCCATTTCCGGAATTGGTAGACCGAATGACTCAAGTGGTAGCTAGACCACTTGATGGAAGAGGTCGACCAATTTCCGGAATTGGTAGACCGGATGACTCAAGTGGTAGCTAGACCACTTGATGGAAGAGGTCGACCATTTTCTTGGAAAGTGGTCGACCACTTGATGGAAGAGGTCGACCGTTTTCTCCAAGTTACGGTGACATGCAAGTCACCGTAGGCATACCCAATAAGATATGATCACGGTTTTTAGAATTACCACTATTTATTTGTAGTTTTATGCGAGAACGTTGTGGCCGAGTTTTCGGAGTTGCACATCATACTCTTGTTTTGTGGAGCTGAAGAGGGATTTTAGTTCTGAGCTTTAGATCTTAGTGTGGTTGAACAATGCTGTTAAAATTGTGCTTTAAAACTTAAATCTTCTACAGAGAATCACAATTTTCATTTACAAGTGTTGTCAAAATCTACACTTTACAGTTTAAAATTAATAGACCAGCAAAATTCTTCTATGTAAAATCGCTCTTTTAAAGTTAAGAATATACTTCCCAATAACATAAAATTAAAATCATTAATCAGCTTTAACAAACGTACAGTAATTCAGCAACCCATTAGTTTGAGTGCCCATCACTTGATGTACACTGTACCCACATAATTGCCAACTAAATAAATATAATGAGCGACAGATAAGTAATCAAATTCTAGTGTGACAAGTAACCATAATTTTTATGAAACATCTCATATGTGTGGTTCTCTAGAACTTCCATTAGATTTGCTGCACAATGCTCTTGTCCACTTGGAATGCCTATGCGAGAATGTCGGGAGAAATGTCTGGGTTTGACTCAAAGATGGAGTTAGCTATAGTGATGACTCCTGGGTTTTGGCTGCTTAGTGCAGCAATGGCCACTGCATTACCATGCCCAACGTTGTGTTGGAAGTGAATCAACCCAATTGGGAAGACAAATACATCACCCTTCTGAAGAATCTTTGAGATAAGGTGATTATCGGGGTTTGACAGTGAGAATCTCGGAGACTTTTGGGTGAGCGTGAGGAGAATTGATTCCCCATGATGCAAAGTCAATACGAACCATCGAGATGCCTAAGGTATTGAGACCGGTAATTTGAGTCATTGTGACGGCTGTGACGGCAGAACCAACAGCATTACGGGTGTTCCTAGGAATGTGCAAACCAGTGAAGGAGAAATCTTCGGCTTGGACTGTCGTGGAACTCTTGCAAGCGAAGCCGTTCATTTTCACTGTAGAGGGAATGAATCTCGAATTCAATCAATCAGTTACATAGACATTATAGTCAAAGTCGAATAAATGTTGGTAAGATATATATGCATACCTTATTGCTTCTATCTACAACACAGAAATCCTGGAGAGATGCAGGGTCAGATGCAAATGTGAGATGACCGTCAGAGATAAATTGTTTGAAATACTTCACTCAAATAAGAAACAAAAAAAAGGTAGTAGATTAGATTGAGTGGTGTTTGGAAAAAATCCAAAACTACCACTGTTTAAAAAAAATAACAAAAATACAACTCATTCTCAACAATTTCCAAAAATACCATCGTTTATTAAAAATCGCACCTCTAATGGGCGGTTAATATACAAACTGCGCCTCCTGGCAATGGTTTACATTATAACCGCCTCGCCAACAGGTGTTTTTAAATTCCTGCTAAAACCGCTCCTGGAAGGCGTGGTTTATATAGTAACCCTACCACAAAACGCTTCAAGAGGAAGCGTTTAAATGTCGACATGATAAACCGCCCCACCAGGTGGCGGTTTACCGTGTCCAGACATAAACCGCTGCCCCAAGGCGTGGTTTGTTCCTGGTCACCCGACGGCAGACATGTCGGCATGCAGGGGGTGCCCCCCCCCCCCCCCCCTCCTGGCGGTTTGTGCTGCAAAATTCGCCTATAAAAGGCTGTTTCAGAGAACTCAAATTCTTCACACTCCTCCTCTTCCTTCTTCAAATTTCAGTTTGGCACCTTTAAATTATTTAGTTTTTGTGTTTAACGTTAATTCGTAAGTTTGTTTTGTATTACTTTTCATTGTACTTTGTGATTTTATGTTAGTAACTTAATTACTTTTAATTATCCTTTGTGATTTTATGTTAGTAACTTAATTACTTTTCATTGTTATGTCCCTCTTGTATTACTTTTCATTATCTTTTGTGATTTTATGTTAGTAACTTAATTACAGTTTTATTGCAGATGTCATTCCAGAGGTTCACGCTTGGGTTGCTGTGGAATGGTTACACGGAAGAGACCGAAAAGGGTGTAAGTTACGTCGGTGGCAATTTTTATAAAATGAAGGTCCGTATGAGACCGATGCTTGAAGAGCTCCATCAAATGTGCACTCAGATTACCTGCATGGATGGCACTAGAAGAGTTGATCAAATGGTGTATCGATATCCAAACAGACATGACGGGTTGCTGTGGAATGAGGAATTCCTCCTTACCACTCAGGAGGACGTTGATGCCATGGTCCAATTTTTGACCACCAATAAAATTAAGCAAGCGGAGATGTTCGTTTACACAGAGGTCGTCGAAGGCAGTGTAGGCCATTCTGGAGATGGCCAAACATCTGGTATCCACGGTGGGAGTGTATTATACGAAGATCATCCCCACCAGGATTTTCAAGACTCGAGCTGGAGGCAGGAGTATCATCATGGAACTGGAGGTCATCATCAATCCTTCCCTTCATATAAAGAAGAAGCTCAACAGGCGGATCACAACCAACAAGCATGCTACCAGTACCCACCCGAGTACAACTTCTATCAAAGCGGTGTTAGTTACCACAACTACCATTACGGAGCCGGTGAAGGTGAAGGTGGCTTTCATGATGATAATCAGATGGAAGTAGAGGTCAATCCAAGTCCAGTTAGTGACCCTGAGGTTGAAGAAGAGGAAGGCGAAGTTAGTGCAAACAGCTTCGATCCACTGGAAGGTGCTGATGATTCCGGTCCAGATTCAGACGTAGACGGTGATGAGGTACCTCGCGACCGTGTACCTATTCCATACTATAATCACATTCAAAATGAAGATTGGTATGTTGATGGCAACATGGACTCGCCAGAGGTGCCAGTATGGGGTCCACTCACTGGCTTTACGAAGGGCCAACAATTTGCAACGAAGAATGAGGTCCGACACGCGATTGCCACTGAAGCAATGACTCGTAGTTTTGAATAGAAAACTACACATTCTGACACAAAGAGGCTGATGGTTCGATGCAAAAATGAAAATGAGGGATGCAAAGCTAGGGTCCGGGCCATCAAGAGCAAGAGAGTCGGCCATTGGGTCATTTCCTGTGCCGTGAACACACACACATGTGTGTCATCAATAACATCCCAAGGCCATCGACAATTGAAATCAAGGGTGGTTGTCGCGGCTATCAAACATCTAATTGAGGAGGAGCCCGACCTGAAGGTGATAACCATCATCGCCCACATTTCTAGTCGTTATGGTTATATCATTAACTACAAGAAAGTGTGGCATGGGAAACAAAAAGCAATGGCTGCCGTGTTTGGTGACTGGGAAGAATCATATGCATTCCTTCCCAAATTGATTTTGGCGTTGGAGGTGTCTAACCCTGGCACCATTTTCTCACCTCGCTACCAAGATGAAGAATTTCAACCGCCGGTGCCTGGTAACAAGCGCCAATTCAAGCGTCTTTTCTAGGCATTCAAGCCATGTAGTGATAGTTTTCCATACTGTGTTCCTATGATTCAAGTTGATGGAACATTCCTTACCGGTAAGTACAAGGGTACTCTACTGATTGCCAGCGGAGCAGATGCGAATAGAGTAGTATATCCATTAGCCTTTGCCATTGTGGAGGGAGAGAATACCGATAGCTATGGATGGTTCTTCAGACAAATTCAGCTCCATGTCACCAGGCGGACGAACCTGACTATCATCTCAGATCGCCATGCCGGTATGCGGGCTGCTATCTTAGGCTTGGATCCAGCCTGGAACTGGTCACAGAGATGGTGCATACGACATTTCAAGAGCAAATGGAACCATCATTTCAAGCGAAAGAAGCTTGTTGATAGTCTATGGTGGATCGGTAAGCGTTCTAATTAATTGTTATATATGGTGGCAGATTAGTGGAACTCGGGTGCACCATTGACCGGGATGTAACGGAAACTTGTGGACGTGATGCGCAACAATGCGTTCTATATACGGATCGAACTTAAGCTACGAAGGTGCATAGAAAATAGACCATTAATCAACATAATAATATAAGTTAAAAAAAGTAGGAATTAATAGTGTATTATGATGCTCACCTCTGCTTCCCAAAGACGATCAAGTCTCCTACGATACTCCTCCAACTTATGAGCTCCTAGGTTGTCGCATGTTTTTTCACCAAGCCACCTATTCAATCCAAAAAGTATGGAGTGTTAATACATAATAGCCAATTCGTTATAAAATACCCAATTAGTAAAAAAAGGTGAGAACTATGAGTGGGATAGAAAACATTTACCTACAACCATAAGCTTCATGTCGTAGGGGATGGTCGGGACCCCATTCCTTGTCGGGGTCTACCTTCGGCGCAATCCATGGCAAATGCTCCCAAGCCCAAAATTGGACGATGAACATGGCCCCATCAATCTCCTTCACTGCTCTCGCACTAGCATTACAGAGGGATCGGTAGAGATGAGCTAGGCAAGCAGATGCCCAGCTAAGGTTTCCCATATCATTCCAACTCCCAAGTATGATCTTCAACCATGAATTGCTGATTAGGTTGTTGGATTTCTTGGGAAATAAAATTCCTCCGACCATGCCGAGGATGTAGATACGTGCATAAATGTCTTTATCGCCTCCGAACTTTGCTCCGTGTGGGAATGCCTCCGAACTCAGGGTTGTGCTTACGCCTGATCTCCGCTGTCAACCACGTGATGGATACTTGGCCCTTGGACAATGGTGGATGACCATTCGCATCGTGATCTCCCTTTTATGGCGGACACAATCCGGTGACCGTCCATATAAAATGCTGCCAACCACTCATATTGGCAACGACTTTAGGTGGTGGCGTAGAGTCCACACAAACAACATCACCATTAATGGGCAAATCGGTTAGGATGGCGATGTCTTTAAGTGTGATGGTGCACTCGCCTTCACGAAAATAAATTGAAGCAGTGTGTCTCCTTTCGCCATCTCTCTACTAATGTTGTGATGAGTTGGCGGTCGATCTTGATTCCATTAAAATGCCTAATCGAATCCAATCTTGCCCTTTTTAGAAAAGGCAAGATGACGTCGTTCCATTCAAGCACATTCGCCATGCCCCTTTAGCGGACTATATGGTATGCATCCTAGAGAAGAATTTAAGTTTCACTATAAGTTGATGATTTATACATATGTAAATATATTATAAGATGTAATATTAATTAAATGAAGGTTTTTTTATAGAAATATACATTATCTAATAAACATTAATTTTAACATAACTAAATAATATTATAAGATGCAATATTAATTAAATCAATGTTGTTTTAGAGAAATATACATTATCTAATAAACATTAATTTTAGCATAACTAAAATAATTTTCTAAGATGCAATATTAATTAAATCAAGGTTATTTTAGAGAAATATACATTATCTAATAAACATTAATTTTAACATAACTAAAATAATTTTCAAAATTTAAGTATAATTATTTTTTGTACACATACACATAAAATCAAATATATTATTTTGTTAATCGTATTGATTATTTTCAATAATTTAAAGCAATACAAGTACACTCGTAAGACTCTTAGGAGAGGTATACATCTCCTTAGAAACACAGTCTTTTCGATTGAAAAATGTGGGATCCGAGGATCACTTAGAACCCGATTTTCCCATGTCATGGGGGGGATCATGATGATCGCTTAAGTCCTCATTTTCTTAGAAATGCATTTCTTTATAAAGAGTCTAAATAAGTGTTGTATTGTATTGATTTAAATTATTGAAAATAATCAATATGATTATCAATTAAGTAAATTATTGTACAAAAAAATAAATTACTTTAACAAAATACAAATTACAAGTGATGATAAATAAAATGTACCTTGTGGTTGTTCCAACGTCTTTTGAACGATGATTAGCTTGATCGTATAAAACAGTCGGATCAATCGGTCCTTGATCAACATAATATCGTTGATTGTAAATATCAACATCCGGCCTAACCTACGATAGCATAACAATAACATAAATCAATTAGTATATAAATTAAACAAATCATTATAACACCAACAACAATTGGGTAAAATGAGTACCTACCGTTTGATAATCATCATAGAAAATGCCCTCTTCTTGGATGAAATCGGCCATTTTTTCCGAATCTGGACAGAGATTCGACAGTTTTTTAGTGAAAACCAAAGAAAAAGTTTTTTGAATGCAGATCGGACTTAGCCGCAAACAAAAAAAAAACTAATTCTAAGTTTTTGGGTGGGGAGGGGGGTGGGTAGAGTGAGGAGTTAGAGGGAGAGAGGGGGAATGGGTTTGGTGTGCAGAAAATGGGAGGGGGAAAGGGGGTTTATATAGGGACGAAACAGCGTAAGGGAGGGGCGGTTTCGTTCTTTTACCCCGCCTAAAACCGCACCTCAAGCGCACGTTTATCTTTCCCCAACAGTCAAACCGCGCTTCGGGGGAGCAGTTTGACTGAGCGACGCGGATCGCTGAGCTGGCGCGCGGTTTGGCTGTCAGATCGCTCCCCCATCGCGCGGTCTGATGCACCGCCACGTGGCCACGCGGTTTGACAGCCAGGAAGAGTCAAACCGCGCGTTCCACAGGCGGTTTGACCCTTAACCGCGCCTTGGACGCGCGTTTTGGTTTGTAACCGCGCCTTCGATGTGCGTTTTGTGTAGAAGGGTAGTATTTTTGGAAATTGTTGGGAATGTGTGGTGTTTTTGTAATTTTTTTTTATAGTGGTAGTTTTGGATTTTTTACGTGATGTTTGTGAATTATGCCCGTGAAAGGCTGATGAAATAGAGCCTTGTATGCCTGCTTATTGGCCCAGCCGCCCAGGCTTGAGGAACTAATTGTAGGTGGCATTGATTTGTCATATTGTACAGTAAGATATAAATTAATAATAATAAAAAGTGAATGATCTACGAGGTTAATTAGCCGTCCGTCGGCGATTGACTGAAATTGTAAGATTCTTGCCGACGATAATATAAAGCGGCACATGCCAGGAATATCCAATTAATCCCAGGTCCGGCTTTTCATGCAGGAGGCAAAGGCGATCACGAAGTTGCATGGAACCCATCATATACATGAATATGATTAAAGTTAGAAAGTGTCTACTGTTGCATAAGGGATATACTAATGTGACAGGTAGGTAAGTTTTGTTTTGCTCTCTGCCATTTTTTTATTGGACTGTAGCTGATTATTGTTTTTCTCTTAGGTAACCCATGATGAGAGCCGGCCTCATCAACGGTTGGACACGTTTTAGTGTTTAATATCTGCGGCTCCTTTGTTGATGTTATAACAGAAGTCGGAAAAAGGCCGTTGGTGTAGGCTTGACACGACACATTACTCCAATCATGGGTTTATGTTAAGAAAATATACCGAAATTTATACCGAACAAGTTATTATTAAGGTGTTTTGTGCTAAAATTGTAGTTCAAAAGTGTTTAAATAAGTCTTGACACGTTGCTCCAAACCGAGCCTCGATTTATGTAAAAAAACCAAAAATTATAAAACCAAAACATAAGTTCGTACAAGAAAAGTTAGCATTACAGTATTTTGTGCTAAAATCTTAGTTCAATCGGCGTTAAAATTCGGCTTTACACATATTTCCAACCTGAGTCTCGATTTATGTTTTGAAAAAAAAAACCAAAAGTTGTAAAACCATATCGAAGGTTGTACCGGTAAAGTTAATATTAGAGTGTTTTCTGCTAAAATCGTAGTTCAATCTTTGCTTCAACCCGATCCTCGATGCATGTTTAGAATAAATAAAAAATTATAAAACAATACTGAAGGACACACTCATCTCCTACTGATAGTCATAGTGGACATATCGAAAACGTTAGCATTAAGTGATTTTGCGTTGAAATTGTAGTTCAATCGTGTTAAATAATTTCATACAACAAAAATCACGTATTGATTTATATTCCGATAGGAGTTTTTCTATTGGACCACCAGTACGGTACAATCGTAGTTCAACTGTGGTTAAATCAGGCTAGACACATTGCTACGACTAGAGCCTCGATTTATGTTAAGAAAAAACCTAAAATAGTAAAACCATACCGAATGTTATACCAGTAAAGTTAGCATTAGGGTATTTTGTGCTAAAATTGTAGTTCAATTGTGCTTAAATCAGGCTTTACCCGTTGCTCCAACCCTAGCATCGATTTATGTTCAGAAAAACAAAAAATTGTAAAACCATATCTAAGGTTGTACTAAAAAAAGTTAGCATTAGAGTATTTTGTGCCAAAATTTTAATTCAACCGTGGTTAAAATCAAGCTGGACACGTTGCTCCAACCCGAACCTCGATGTATAGAAAAATCCAAAAATTGTAAAACCACACCGAATGTCGTACTAGAAAAGATAGCATTATGATATTTTGTGCTAAATACCCATATGTTGTTGTGCTACAATACAACAAGACGTTGCTCCAACCCGAGTCTCGATATATGTTCAGAAAAAACCAAAAATTATAAAACCATATCGAAGGTTGCTCAGGAAAAGATTGTATAAGAATATTTTGTCCTAAAATACTAGTTCAACCGTGCTAAAATCATTACATATAAGTAAAATCATCTACCAATTAGATTTCTTTAGGAGTTTTTCTATTGTATGTTGCTAATCACGATCAAAAATTAAATACGGATTAGCAAACAATACTTCTTATCCTATGATAAGCTGCAGCGAAGCGCGACACAAAATCTACATGGTTTTTATAAAAAGAAACCCATTGCATGATAATCAACGTCAAGGAAATTAATGAAACGAACCTAATCAGTGGAAAACACGAGTGCCCGGGCAAAGTGACACAGCCGACTCATTAGCTTACCCATTTCACTAGTTTGGATAATATTAGTTTGTTCTAGTCCAATGATATAAGGAAACCCCACTAGTCATACGATAGCAAAGGGGTGGGATGACCGGTAGTTCAGTACTTATACTCATAGTCAAAATCGCGCTTTAAAATTTAAAAACTTACGCTTTTATGCTTTTAGGTCACTAAAACGCTTCTACGCATAGTCGCCGTATTTATAACTAATGTAGTTAAAAACTGCACTTAAAGCTTAAAAGCTTACGGTTTTATACTTCTAGATCACCAAAACGCTTCTACGTAGAAACACGCTTTTGACTACATTGGTCTTGTATATCAAGTGCGGATCATAGATAGATTGGCTATGTCCATGTGATGGGGTGTGTATCTTAACAGGGCCGGCTCTGAACTTGACCGTGTTTAATAAATAAGATATGGGCTAATTTTTTATTTAAAATTTAATAAATAAAATTATTCAAAATTTATTTAAAAATAATATTATTTGCAGTAAACAGCAATAATAATTTTACATAGAAAGATGAAAAAATTCAATATTTGATAGATTGAATCAAAGAAAGTATTAGTAAAACCTTTTGAAGTACAAAGTAAAGAGCAAAATGTTTTTTATTGCCCTCATGTAGTACATTCTTTTCAAATTATCAGTGAAACCTTTTGAAATACGAAGTATTAACTAAGCCTCATTAGCAGTTTTGTTAGTAACGCTCACTTGACAATATGATGTTTAGTTGGAAGAGACTCATGGCGATCAACATTCTAAAATTATAGTATTCTAATTAAAACGAGAGTTATAAAATTATTGACAGTAACAGACAAATGTCTATTATTTTGTTGCTTTACAAAAATTTGGCTAATAATTTGTATTTCGAAATGAAAAGTTTGATTAATAAATGAATTACTTGATAGAGACATGTGACTTAGGAGGCCCCTATAATTTGGAGGCCTCGTACGGTGAGGTATGCTTGCACACCCCAAGAGCCACCCTATACCTCAAGTCCTCAATATTGATACTTGTTAGATAACAAGCTAAGTCAAGCATGATAATTCTCATGCGGGTACGGATCGGGGCAGATAAACCCACTGCATGTAAAAAAAACTATAACAAAATAGCATTGTAATCAAGGTTCTAAAAGGCGCTAGGCGTAAGGCAGGCGCTCGGCTCCTGACTTGCGCCTTGCCTGATTAGGCGTAGCCTAGGCGCGCCTAGGCGTTCAGAGCATAAATGGAAAAAGTTCTCAAATATTTACTGTTTTCTGGAATAATTCATATAATCCAAGTGCATATAAAATTAGTAATGCCTAGTTCTTAACAGTAAACACTTAACATAACAAATAACAAGCAAATAGTGACCACTTCCTAGAATCACAAGTTCATAAAATGTCGAAATACTAAACCATAGTCAATAAGTTCATAAGATAATGTTCATTCTTCATCATCCAAGTAGGTCCGTCCAGCCACCACTACATCTTCATCATCCTCCAAAGCAATCTCCTCACCATCCTCCTCTTCTTCCTCCTCTTCACACTCTAATTCTTCATCATGGAGCTCTCTCACTCGTGCACTCCTACGAAGCTCACTCTGTTTACCCGTCATTGCATCTGTAACAGTACTCGAGGGTGCACAATGTAATTCCTCATCCTCATCTACGAATACATACATAGCATGGTCATCCCCTAACCGTATTTCTGATTTTCTAGGGCAAGAGGCAATTTTATGATTTTCTAGGACAAAACGAAGAGTATTGGGTTTAACCGCCTAAGCTCGCCCAGGAATGCCCAGGCACGCCTTCTCTCCACTAGGCGCAAACTAAGCGCTACCAGCGCCTTTTACAACGCCTATGGCCAAGTCAAGGCGATCCTCCACTGCCTAGCGCCTAATTAAGCCTAGGCGTGCGCCTAGGCGCGCCTTCTTGAACCCTGATTGTAATCAACATTGAGGATTGAACTGAACTGGTCATATTGTTTTTTTTTTAACACAAAATTCCCAACAATCACTCGGCGACAATAAAGAAAAACATTTAATGCCATCGACTGGAAGTCACATGCATGGTTTGTTTTGGGTCTAGTTTGTAACATTTTCCTTTGTAGGTTGAAAAGTTCATAGGGAGAAACATTTTCGATATATGACGTATCAAGGTGTATGCAGTTTTAAAACATTAAGGGAGGTGGGAGCCGCTATTTGGAAATCCAAAGAATATAGGGTCGATGACAATGCATGGAGTAGGCCCACTATACTATCATGCTTTATCTATATGATGACGTCATCACATAATTTTCTTCTTAGAAAACTACCATTGGAAGTTGGTTTGGTGGCCAATCAACACAAGGCGCTAAACAATTTGGCACAAGAGAAATTGAAGGGAAGAGAAATTGGAGGGAAAACAAGTGGTGATTATAATATCAAGGCTAGATAATAAAATCTCAAAGTTTCATTTTTGAGCAGATTTTTTAGAAATAAAATTGCACATTTCTATTTCAAAGAAAAGGTTGTTTTCTGATAAACTACTATTTTCCCATAATCAATTTTGACCATCTTCTTGTCCGTTGTGCAATTCCATTGCTCCAACCAAGAAGGTTGTAACATTCTCATTAAGTTGTGTATCTCTCCTATTACTTTGCTAATGTCGATTGGTGATTCGAGTCATTCTATACATGTTTTGACCCATTTTACTATGTTTTGACTTGTATAATATCATCCTTGGAGCCATTTTACGCTAGGTTTTTGAATGTTTTAGTATGTTCAGGCTATAGCAAGCAAAATGGGCGAAATTGCAAGGATCGAAAGTTGGAAAAAATGGATCGAAAACGGGACCAGGTGCTGAAAATTGAATGGATCATGGTTCAAAGAAAATTGTCACGGATAGGAGAACATGAAGTATACAATGAAATCATGAAGTGTGCAAAATTCCAGGAGCATTCGGACGTCTAGCGGGATTGCACGGATTACTAGCTCAGGGCGCGTGAAGTGTGTATGTGAAACAATGCTTTTTTGTTCTGAGATCACAGTTTCAATGCACACATCACGGGTGTGAAAGATGATCGTGAAATGTGTATTGTCGGGTATAAAAACAAGAGATAAGATTTCAAAGGGAGAAGAGTTTTAGAATGGGATTAGTTTCTGTTTCCACATGCTAGAGAGAGAAAGCGATCAATGAAGGAAGATTGGAGAGGAATTTCACCTACCTAAGACAAAAGGAGGCCACATTTCATCTTTGACAGCATCTCAAGCAATTAACAAAAATGAGAATCATCTTTCCATGAGCTTTTTCTTCTCTTTAGTTGTAGTTTTTCTCTTATGTTAGTAGATAATCCTTTAACTTGGATGAAGCGAACCCTAGTCTAAGATGTTGTAGACTAATTATTGTGAACTCCATGTTGTGATTGGCATGTTTAATTATACATTAATTGAGTATTTATCATAAAAATTGAGTGTCCTTGATCAATTCTCTCAAATTAGAGGCAAATCACTTAAGAGAGAAAAGATCTCCTTATGGTAATTTGGGTCACTATTCAATCATTGTAGGAGAGCCATGAACGAGCATGATAGGTCTCTGTATGTTGTTCTTGGTCATTTCCCGAGTGAGCGGATTTGGTTACCCTAATTTCCTAATTCGGTAGTTTGGTATGCCTCTCCGATTAAAGCAATAAGACAGTTTAGGACAACTCAAGTAGGAACTCCTAACTAGTTTTGATTTCTTAACGGTATTTCTAATATGCAAATCACACCAGAGCATCAAGTCATCATGATCATCTCAACACAAGACTAGAGGATAATCATCCGAGTGAAGCTCTCCGCCTCTCTCACTTGAATTCAACCTCATTTTAGTTACTTGTTTGTTTAGTTTAATAGCTTAAAACAACATTTCTACCGTTAGATAAGTTGTAATTTGCTAAAGTAAGAGTACATAAACCGCCTGGGTTTGATAAATAACATACTCATCGGCTATTAAATAGCACACCCTACTCTATACACACTATGCTGATTTGTCATATAGTACAGTAAGATATGAGAAATAGTGACTGTAAAGTCCAATAATGTAAAACGACACATGCAACGATTATCTTGTCAATAAACCTTAAACAAGGATTGCAATACACCAAGATTAACGTGGTTTCCCCAACGATGATGATCGTTGAGACTATTCCACGGGAGAACACTCAGAACTCTTATTCACGTTCAGCAACAAAAGTTACAAAAGCTACAACCCTTTACTCGAGTATATATCTCGGCCTCCCATACTAACCCTAATCCACGTCAAAAATTAACATATTTATATACGGCTAATTACAATAAGGTACTAAAATCTTTATCTTCTAACACCCTCCCTCAAATTGATGTGCTGACGCAACATCAATTTGTGAGCAAGGAACCAATTATGAGCTGATGCCACCGCCTTGGTTAATAGGTCGGCAGTCTCATCTTCAGATGTAATGTAGGTAAGATCGATAATCCCATCAGTCACCAGTTGCCGTATATAAGGCACATGAACCTTGATGTGCTTAGTGCGATCATGCAGAACTGGGTTAGTCGCAATCCGAATGGCACTTATGTTGTCCGCATAGAGGCGAATAGGAATGCGACATACCACCCCCAAAATCAACAAATAAGCGTTGTAGCCACACCAATTCCGAGGTGACTTCACTCATGGATCGATACTTCGCTTCAGTGGAAGACTTAGCCACCCGCTCTTGTTTTTTGCATCGCCAGGAAACAAATGAAGAGCAAAATTTCACACACCACCTGGATGTCGATCGGCGAGTATCCAAGAAACCGACATAATCACCATCTGCATAGGCTTCCAGAATAGGGCTGCCCCAACCAGAAAGAACAAACCCACAGACTACGTTCCACGCAGATAGCGCATGATACGCTTAACAGCAAGCTAGTGAGTAGTGCGAGGATCCAACATATACTGATTAACCACCTGAACTCCATAAGCAATGTCAGGTCTAGTGTGAGTTAGATATATCAAACTCCCCACAATAAGGCGATATAGCTTACCATCTGGAAGTAGCTCACTAGAGGAAAGTGTCAACTTCAAATTTTGGGAGTAGCACAAGGAACACAGGCCTCCATCTGCGCCACTTCTAAGAAATCAAAATGTATTTATGCTAGCAAACATGAAAACCTGTGGCAGAGCAATCAAATTCCAGGCCCAAAAAGTAAGATAATGTCCCCAGTTCCTTGAGATTGAAGGCCTCACGAAGAGAGGCAGTGAGAGATTGGATTCCCTCCTGGTCATTACCACTGATAATCATATCATCTACATAAATAAGGAGGACAGTAATACCTCGACCCTTGCGATGTAGGAAGAGAGACATATCATTAGCACTCTGAACAAAACCAGCTCAAGAACAGTGGCCTGAAACTTCTCAAACCAAGCACGAGGAGTCTGCTTCAAGCCATAGAGGGACCGCCAAAGACGACAAACCATAGACTTATCGCCCTTGGCATAACCTGGAGACCGCTCCATATAGATCATTTCATTCAACTCCTCGTGCAGGAAGGCATTCTTGACATCTAACTCAACCAACGACCAAGCCTGCATAGCCGCGACGACAATAAGACTTTCGCACCGTTTGCATTTTAGCAACAAGAGCAACTATTTCCTCGTAGTCTACTCCAAACTGTTGTTTAAATCCTTGAGCCACAACCCGAGCCTTCTCGCGTTCAATCGAGCCATCAGGATGACACTTCAGTGCATACACCCACGTACTGTCGATAACCGTGTACTCTGGACGTCGAGGCACAAGATCCAGGTATGTTGCGCCTCTAACGCCTGAGTTTCAGTATCCATGGTTGCTTCCCATCGCGCAAGACCTTGAGCTTGTTTATACGCCTAAGTTTCAGACTGCTGAGTAGGCAACAAAGTCTGAGTGGCTGGCAGGGGGTTGTCCCTTGTTAGCCTGATTAGACCTTATAAGAGGAGGAACCTCCGCAACCTTTGAAGTAGAAGAACCCAATGTGGACTGCGAGGAAGAGGAGGAAGCCGAGGCGGTCAGGGAGGGTGACGAATCAGATGTGAATGACAACAAGCTTGTATGGGGCGACGTAAGAGGAGGATCCACATCATCCAGGTCAGGCGAAGCTGGAGCTGCTGGGAAGGAAGGTAATCGTGCCAAGAAATCCCACTGTGAGGTGTTAATAGATGTGTCTGAAGCATAATATGGGTTGTGTTCCAAAAACACAACATGACATGAGATGCGAAGACGATGAGCAGCAACATCATAACAAGCGTAGCCCTTGTGTTTGTTACTGTATCCGACAAATACACACTTGACAGCTTCAGGAGAGAGCTTGTGACGCTCTCGACGAGGAAGAAGAACATAGCAAACACACCCGAAAACGCGAAGCCATGTATAATCAGGAAGTCGAGAGAAGAGGACCTGGTAGGGGCTACGCTGATCAAGAACTGGAGTAATCTGACGATCGATAAGATAAACAACAGTATGAACCGCCTCAACCCAGAATCTAGGAGGAAATTGCGAGTGAAAGAGCAAGGCACGAGTGAGCTCCAGAACGTGGCAATTTTTGCGTTCAACCACCCCATTTTGTTGGGATACACCAGGATAGGACTGTTGGGAAAGAATCCCTGTCTGACGGAACATGTCTTGGAGCGGGTGAGACACAAATTCATCACCAGGATCGGACCGCAGTATCTTGATCACCTTGCCAAATTGTGTAGACACCATCTGGATAAATTCTCGAGCAACATCAATCAACTCAGATTTCTGTTTAAGAACATAAATCCACGTGAAGCGAGTGACCTAATCAACAAAGAGAGCAAAATAGCGAAACCCCAAACGAGCAGTGACAAGAGAAGGGCCCTAAAGATCAGTATGAACTAAATCAAAAGGTTCCGAGTACTCAGTAAGGTTGGTACCAAAAGACCGCTGTGAAATTTTAGCCTCCACACAATGAACACAATCATGATCAGGAATAGTGCAACTGTGCCAGACAACCACTTATTCTTAAACATATCAAATAATCTCAACTTATGAGGGTGTCCTAATCGATAATGCCACAAATCCCAATCCGACAGTGGTACTAAAAAACTAGTGTTATAAAAAGATAAAGGGGAACGGGACAACAATACCACAGCAGTAGAACGTGTATTGCTTGCGGCTTCACTAGGCAACTCAAACTGTCGTCCTCGATCAACAGGCTGCCTAGAAAAGTCATCAAGCATATACACCCGTCCGTACTTACTCCCTCTCCCGATCTCCTGGCCCGTCATCATGTCCTGCACAGCGCAACCATGAGCATCAAACACAACTCTACAACCCTCATCAGCAAGTTGGCCCACTGAAACCAACTTGGGAACTAATTTCGGAACATAAAATGTATGTGGCAGCTCCATGTGAGAATTCCGAACAGTCCCAATACCATGAACAGAAATATGAGACCCATCAGCTACTTGCAACGTAATACCAGAACTAGGACGAACATGAGTAAGATATGACCAATCACTGGTCATGTGATTCACAGCAGCAGAATCAAGATGCTAAGGAGAAAGAGGTCGAGAGATTGTACCAGTGGCGAAGGCCACCGTCGTAGATGGTGAGGCTATTCCCTGCAAAGCTTCACATATTAAGCAACGAAACTCATTCGAGGAAACTGCAACAGAGGATGTAGTGGAAGTAGGCGGAGCATAATGAGTAGCATAAACATTGCCAGAGGATCCACGACCAACAAGAGACTTGTAGGTAGCAGCCGAATGATTGTCACCATGAGAGACAGCCCGTGAGCCCGACCCAGGTCGAGCTCGTCCACGACGAGAAAGGACGGGACAATCTCCAATCACATGTCCCGACGCTTTACAGTAGTTGCACACAACACGCTTCGGACAACGAACCTAAACATGGCTATGTTCCTTGCAGTGGTAGCAAATGATCTCGCCCGAAGGAGTTCGTCAGAACTGAGGACGGCCCGACTGAACGGCAAACACCGCACCGGAATCAGAAGCATGAAGATCAAGCTTTGCTTGACTGCGAAGGCGCGTTTCCTCCCTTACCAATTCACCCAGCACTTCCTCGACAGAACCAACATTCCGGTGAAGGAGAGAAGACCGAATACCCTCAAACGCTGGATTGAGCTTCATTAAAAAAATGCATCAAATGAGAGGTAGCCCGCTCTTTAAGTACCTCAGTCGAGGCTGATGTGGACACCAGGGAGGCAGTTAATAAATCTTGCTTGGTCCACAAATTCAAAGTCGCTTGATAGTAGGAGCGGACATCTAAATCGCCCTGTTGCAAAGAAGCGAGCTTAATATCAAGCTCGAATTTCCGAGATGCATTCACCAGGGAGTGAATGTCGTGGAGATGTTTCCACATAGCAGCGGTAGTAGTGAACCCCCGGAGACTCAGAGCCATGGCGGGCTTGACCGACCACAGGATCGAGGACATGACTTGGGCATTCTCAATTGCCCAGTATGTCAGAGCCTTAGAAGTAGTAGATTCTTTCGCCGGAGAAGACCCATCAAGTATAGGGAGGAGGCGCTTCAGTAAAGGGAAATTTTTCCATTCAGCCTAGCAGTAACAGCCTCAAGTTTGGAACCTTCCATGGTTTCACAAAGTGGATAGATAGCCTGACAATTAACCCAACAACTCGACATCAACCAAAGATAAGAAAACCAACAGGAATGCGGCCGAGAACAGGAGGTGAAGACCACAAACAACACCTACCACAATGCGGCTGCACAAAACAAGAACGGTAGCTTACCAATACCGAACCACGAAGATGAATCCGCGCAAGAAAATGAACGGCGGAGACCACAAAGCTGCTGCACAAAACAAGAACGGCAGCTTACCAATACCCAACCACGAAGATGAATCCGCACAAGAACAGAAACGGCAGAGAACCCACAACCAAAAATCGAATCAGAGATGCTCTGATACCATGTCAATAAACCTTAAACAAGGATTGCAACACACCAAGATTAACGTGGTTTCCCCAACGATGATGATCGTTGAGACTATTCCACGGGAGAACACTCAGAACTCTTATTCACGTTCAACAACCAAAGTTACAGAAGCTACATCCCTTTACTCGAGTATATATCTCGGCCTCCCATACTAACCCTAATCCACGTCAACAATTAACATATTTTATATACGGGTAATTACAATAAGGTACTAAAACCTTTATCTTCTAACATATCTGAATCCCAGCCGACTCGTTAACTAACCCATTTCACAAGTTTGGATATTCATTTGACCAAGTCCAGGCCAGCCGAATCTAATATGCAGACAAAAGGTATATAAAACGTGTTACTGGGAAGCCGATCGAATTACACCGGAATGCTTATCCTGGACTGGGCCATGGCCAATAAGGCAATAATTAACCATGGATTTTAATAATTAATCAGTTGGAACTCCTTTCTATATAAACCAGATAATGGATATGGAACTGCTCCACCAAAAACACACTAGCATCGCTAATTACTCCAATAACTTCATACCCTTTTCATTGCCTCTTCCTTTACTTAGTTCTTCATCCCTCATCATTGTTACTACAGTTTGCAATGGCACACCAGCTTGCTTTCCTGGCCTGTTTGGTAGCTCTTGCCGCTTGTGCAGGTCTCACATTGGCCGAAGAACCTGCCAACCTTCAGTATTTCTGCGTGGCAAGTCCTAACGCCAATGTAAGGATGAATGGATTGGCATGTAAGGATACTATGACGGTTCGGGCGAGCGATTTTGTATTTAACGGGCTCCACATTCCGGGGCTTAACACGCTCGAAATCTCGATGGTGGGCTTGAGGGTCACCCCGGTTTCCGTGACCCAAATTCTGGGGCTTAACACGCTCGGAATCTCGATGGTTCGGATTGACTATCCTCCGTGGGGTATCAACTCTCTGCACACTCACCCTCGTGGCACCGAGATCCTGACCGTGATCGAAGGCACTCTTGTAGTTGGGTTCGTCACGTCAAATCCTGAGAAACCGACACATTACCAAGGTGCTTAAAAAGGGAGTGTAAAAGTCTATGAACGGTAAAGAAGCAAAAAGGACAACACACGATTTACGTGGTTTCCCCGTTCGAGGTGAACGGGACTACTCCACAAAGAACTTGAGGCTCTCGGGCTGAAAATTATTATTCTTCCTCGGTTCACTGTTACAGTTCGGCTGCTGCCCTAGCCGAATTACTTAAAGAAACAAAAGCCAGCCCTACTCTCCTAATCACATGCAACGTGGAGAGTGGGCAATTACAAAATGACCCCTAAATTATTAAAACAATAATTAGAGATAACTACACTCCCCCTCAAGCGAAAGAGTGAATGTCAAGAAGGCCAAACTTGACGAAGAGATGATGAAACGAATCAACACTCAATCCCTTCGTGAATAAATCAGCGGGCTGGTCGGAGGTGGCAATCTTGGAAGGAGCAATCTCACGGGAATGCACACGCTCACGAACAAAGTGACAATCCATCTCAACGGGCTTGGTACGCTTGTGGAATACCGGGTTGGCTACAATGTGAAGAGCAGCCTGATTATCACAATACAGAACGGTGGGACCAGAGGGAGGAGCACATAGATCAGAGAGAAGCCAGCGCAGCCAGATGATCTCACTGACAGCACTAGCCATAGCCTGGTATTCTGCTTCCGCGGAAGAACGCGCAACAACGGTCTGTTTCTTGGTTCGCCAAGAAATGGGGGACCCCCCAAGAGTGATAAAGAAGCCTGTCGTGGAACGGCGAGTAGTGGAACAACCACCCCAGTCGGCATCACAAAAAACGAGTCAACGTGAGAGCGAGGTGGCAGACAGGAAAATACCTCGACCAGAAGACCCTTTCAGATACCGAAGAACTCGAACTGCAGCGTCTTCGTGTGCCTGAGTCGGGTACTGCATTGCTTGGCTGAGGAGATTGACAGCATAAACAATATCAGGGCGTGTGACCGTCAAATATAACAGGTGGCCAATTAGATGCCGATACGCTATAGGATCTCGTGCTGGGGGAGAAGGGTCACGGGACAGACGATGCTGCTGCTCGATCAGAGTGGAGCAGGGACGAGCTGTAGTCAAACCGGCATCGGTGAGAATGTCTAACACATATTTCCTCTGATTGAGAACCATACCCTTAGGTGAGCGCGCAACCTCAATACCAAGGAACTACTTAAGAGGGCCCAAATCCTTGATAGGGAAGCAATCATGAAGGAAGGTCTTAACCAGCTGAATAAACGGGAGATCATTCCCGGTCAGAACCACATCATCGACGTAAATGAGGGCCACAACAAAGGTGGAACCGCGGCGATAGACAAACAAGGCATGATCAGCCCGACTTTGCACAAAATGAAGCTCGACTAATGCCTGTGTAAACTTCTGATACCCATTCCGGGAGGCCTGTCGCAAACCATAGAGAGACTTATTTAGACGACACACTCTGTTATCACCAGGACGCGAGAAGGCACCGGACAGTGACGTATCACCATGAAGAAAGGCATTATTAAAGTCGAGTTGGTGAATGTGCCATCCTCGGTGCAAAGCAATGGTGAGAAGGCACCGGACAGTGACCAGCTTAGCAACAGGGGCATAGGTATCGTGGAAATCAATCCCTTCGACTTGAGTGAAGCCCTTAGCAACAAGGTGCGCTTTATAGCGCTCAATAGAACCATCCGCATTGAATTTGATCTTGTAAACCCATTTACAATCAATAGCTTTCTTGCCCGGAGGAAGGAAAACCAAGGTCCATGTGCCATTGGCTTCTAAAGCGGAAATCTCGACCTGCATGGCATCCCGCCATTGCTTATAACGAACAGCCTGGAACAAATACTTTGGCTCATCGACGGCAGTAACTGTAGCAACAAAGTCACGGTGAGCTACGGAAAGGAGATGATAGCTGAGATAATCGTCTAGGGGATATAAAGTCGTGGCAGAGTGAGCCATGCCAGGCAGCTCGACGTTATAACCAGTCAGGCGAGTGGAGGGACGTCGCACCCGGTCGCCACGGCGGAGAGGAGGCTGCGCAGGTGAAGACAAGTAGGCAGCAGGCTGGGGGATGTGTCAACAGCAGAACTCGGCGGGGAAGGGTGAACCGTCAAAGACGAGGAGGAAGGAGGCTCGGTGGAGGATCCAGTAGGTGTGAAGGAGGACTCGGCTGTAGATAAATCCTCACGGTGCACGTCTTCAACTGGTGAAGGGTAAGGAACCACTGGCGAAGCGGTGTCAATATCGGAAGTAGCATCAGGAGCAGCCATAAACCAAGGCCCTGAGATCGCTGCCTGACTGAGCACAGACTCGCTACTCTCGTGGAAAGGATAGACATGCTCGAGGAATTTAACACCTCTAGATGTATAAATCTGCTTCGTTTCAAGATCATATACACGATTACCCCGTTGACTGGAAGGATATCCCATGAAGACGCCTGCTCTCCCCCTTTCGCCAAATTTATGAAGGCCATGATGATTATCACAAGCATAAATAAGATAGCCAAAGCTTCGAATATGACTATACACAGGGTCTTTCCGGAAAAGCACATGGTAGGGCGTTTTATTCCCGATAGAGACTAGAGGCATTCTTTTGATTAGATAAGCTGCTGCGAGAACACACTCTCCCCATAATCGAATAGGCAGGTTGGCATGAAACCTCGATGCTCGTGCAGTGTCCAGTAAATGCCGATGCTTGCGTTCCACGACCCCGTTTTGCTGAGGAGTATCTGTGCAGGAAGTCTGGAGGATGATCCCCTTCTCTTCATAATAGTTCACCAACGTTTTAGTGGCAAATTCGGGTCCATTATCAGCCTGTATACATCGTACTTGACCACCAAACTGAGTGGCGATCATCTTGCAGAAATACAATAAATGGCGACCCACATCCGACTTATATTTCATCAAAAATACCCATACTGTACGACTGTAATCGTCTACAATAGTCAAGAAATAATAAGCTCCAGAGGTTGAAGCTGTCTCATAACTTCCCCAAATATCCACATGAATCAGTTCAAAACATGAAGTGGATTTGATAGTACTGGTAACAAAAACTTCACGGGTTGGCATAGCACATAAGCAAGAACGACAAGGGTCTGCAGTATGAATAAAAGAACAACCAAGAGTGTTGTGCAACAAATTCATCTTCACAAAGGAAGGATGTCCAAGCCGGGAATGCCCTATCTCTGACTCATCAAGCGTTCGCCGCACAGTGTTGGCCATGGGGTGATTGCCGTCGAATAAGTTGAGATAATAGAGGCCATCCACATGTTTACCCATCCCAATCAGCCTCCTCGAGAGTAAGTCCTGGATTACACAGAAGTCACGCAAGAAAATCAATGCTATGGGTAGGTCTGCTGTAAGCCGGCTAACCGAGAGAAGGTTGCACTGGAAGGCAGGAACATGAAGAACCCGACGCAATAATAAATCGTTCGGCAACTTTGTCGAACCAATAATGTGAACTTTAACCCCTGTACCATTAGGAATTTTCACCTGCAACGTTGGAGAAGTATCCAACTCGGCATCCAACAAGGAAATGTCATTTACTATATGCTCGTTGCAACCAGAATCTATAACCCACGTTGCCGAATTAATAGATGGAGTAGGGAACATACCAGCCATGTTGGATGAGGGCTCGATCGAGGCCGAGGGTGGATGGGAGATGTCCAAGCCTAGGAAAGCCTTCAACGCATCGAACTGAGCTGCGGACAGACCCGGCAAAGGACTCGCCGAGGCCTCGACTTGGGCTGCTAGAGGAGAAGGACGCGGAACGCGATCACCGCGAGGAGGGCCACGATCATTTTCAGTTCTGCCCGCCCCACGTTGTGGATATCCGATCAGCTGGTAGCAATTCTCCTTGGAGTGACCCTGGCAACGGCAATGAGTGCAACGAGGCTGATCATCAGCATCCTTATCTGGCCGAGGAGTAGGACGCTTGGGACGCTCTTGGCAACGCTCTCCTTGAGCTTGGAAAGGGCAGCTTCAGGTCTGGGACGCCGATTACTGGAAATTTGGCGCTGCTGGGCATCATTCATCACCAGTTGATATGCTTCACCAAGGCTGGGGATTGGTTTCATCACTAGAATTTGCGATTTGACTGAAGGCATCATCCAATCCCATTAGAAAATCAAATAGCCTTTCACTTTCACGCACCTCACGCTGTCGACGTTTAATACCGCAGCTGTAGCCAGCGCATGTGCATTCGAGTGAGGGCATGAGGGATTGGATCTCATCCCACAGTCCGCGCAGCTTTGTGTAGAAGGCTGAAACTGAAGATTTTTCTTGCTGAAGAGAGATGATCGTCCCTTTGAGTTCGTACAATCGCGGCGCACTACTTTGGCCGAATCGCGATTGTAAATCAACCCAAATCTCTCGCGTCGTAGAGGCAAACCGCACGCTGCTGCGTACTTCCTTCGTCATGGAGGTCTTGAGTCAACCCTTGACCATCATGTTGCATTGCCTCAACGCCTCGGTTTCAGCAGGAGATTGCGCCGGGGGAAGGCTTCCATCCACGAAGCATAGCTTGTTCTTCGCGATGAGTGAGTCGGTGAAATCCACTAGCCACTCACCGTAATTGATGTCGCTGAGTAGCTCGCCCACATAAAGATGACTAGGGTTGTCGGACGGGTGAAGGAGAAGATGCGGCGGCAACGGCATGGACACGGAGGCTACCCACTTGAGCTTCGAATCCGACGTCTTTGAGCTCTCGTCGTCGGACATAATGAAAGCTAGGTCGAATTAGACCAGCTCCGATACCATGTAAAAGTTGATGAACGGTAAAGAAGCGAAAAGGACAACACACGATTTATGTGGTTTCCCCGTTCGAGATGAACGGGACTACTCTACGGAGAGCTTGAGGCTCTTGGGCTGAAAATTATTATTCTTCCTTGGTTCACTATTACAGTTCAGCTGCTGCCTAGCCGAAGTACTTAAAGAAACAAACCCTAGCCCTAACTCTCCTAATCACATGCAACGTGGAGAGTGGGCAATTACAAAATGACCCCTAAATTATTAATACAATAATTAGAGATCACTACAGGGAGATGTGTTTGTTTTCCCGATCGGGTTGATACACTACCAACGCAATGTTGGGCATGGAAATGTTGTAGCAATTGCGGGATTGAGCAGCCAGAATCCCGGAGTCATCACCATTGCTAATGCCGTTTTTGGATCCAAGCCTGACATTTCTGATGACCTTCTTTCTAAGGCATTCCAAGTTGACAAACGAGTTGTGGACCGACTCCAAGCTAAGTTCTAGGTCTCTTATGGAGTATTGACACCAAGTTACCATATATGAGATGAAAAAAGAAATGTTTCGGATGTACTTGAAGTGAACGCCATGATCTCATGGTATTCATATTTTAATTTGTTTTGCTCCAAAGCTTTTCAGATTGTTTGATGTTCCTGATTGATTCATTTGTGTCTGTTCAATTGTTCTAAATTATTAAACTCCTTTATCGGATTATTTTTATTACTATTTTGTTGAATTGATTGGTTGTTTAAATCGCTTAGAAAGGGATGTCGCACAGTGCTGGTAGAAACTGATTCACAACTTGCTACTGAACTTGCCCGCAATCGAATCTATCTGGGATACCCCTGTATGACTCTTCTCGCTATAATTTTTCAAAAGATTACTTAAGATCGGTTGCACAATGATTAAAGATTTTCGACGATCAATAGTGTCCGTCGGCAAAGGAACAAACCGTCGGCAAATTTTTGTGACGTTTACAAGCCGAAGGTAAATGTAAGTAACTGTCGGTAAGCCCAAAAATTGAATCCATCCATAGTGACCGATTTTAAATAAAATGCAACCGACGTTAAGTGATAAAAAAAAAGTTGATTGACTACCACTACCACTACTTTTAGTCCTGCTTTTTACTTAAAATAATTCTAGGGGTCGTTTGGATCAAGAATTGTATAAAGGAGGGATTTAAGCCCAAATCCCTAATTAAAAACCTAGATAATTTAAACGTAGGACTTTGGCCAAATTATCTGTTTGATAATGGATTTAGAATTTGTCATCCGGGATTTTAAATTTTAATGAATAATTGAAGTACCTATTTTCCCCTTTTCTTCTACGCTGACCCAAATCCCTAACCCCCTACCTATCTTTGCATCGAGCCTTCTTCCTCCCTTGCTATTCTGATCAGCGGAATAATCAAGACAGGAGAGATCGCCACGAACACTCCACCGCCGCCGCTGTCGCTTCTACTCCCGCCGCCTGATTCGGCGCTCCAAGCCACCATTCTCTGGAAATTCGCATCGAACCCGCCCGACCCGGTCTGGAACAAGCTGTGGTGGGTACCCAATCGGGTATTACCCCTATCCGGCTGCTGCTGGTGGGATTGGGCATGGGGGATTAGGGCCTGGTCTTGAAATGAAATGAGTGATTGGCTTTTCTGGACATTAGATCGGGTGGGTAGCTCTGGAAATTCATGGATAAGGTGGTCGAGCTGGTGGGGAAGAAGGGTTTCATGGTCTCGGGAATCTCGTCGGGATCTATCTGAAGGAACAACGGCGACGCGGAGTGGTTGCCGACGTTCTCGCCTCCCAATTGCCGGTGAAGCTAAAAGTCGTAGCCAGAGGACTCCGATTGCTCTGCCATGTCCAGTTCCCTGGGGTTGTGTTCGGATTCCAAACCCTCCTCGTCGTTAGCGCTGTCGGCGGCGGCAGCCGCGGTGGGATGCCAGGGAGGAAGCTCGGCCAGTTTGTCGATGGACGATTTGGCCTTCTAGATGAGCCAATCGACGGCTTTGCAGGGCCGGCCGTAGCCGAGGCGGTCCTGCACTTCGTAGAATTGGATGGCGGTGTGGGCAGAGAGCCTGACCCGGCGGTCTCTGGGACCTTTGGCGGTGTAGACCTTGTTGTGGCTTCCTCTCCAGTCTCCGTCGTGGGCGGTCGATTAGGGTCCAATCGAAGCTCCCCCATTCTTGACGATCGATTCTAGATCTGAATTCTTCGCTGACTGGTGCAGGGGAAGAAGAGCAGAGTGCGGCGGAAGAAGACGAGAAAGGAGATGTGGCGGGGCGGCGGTGGAGGAGGATGCGGTGGTGGTCGGAGAGCTTGCGTCGTCTTCTCCGATCTCCTTCTCTCTCGCGTCCAACTGTGGCGAGATTGCTCTGGGCACTGCGCAGCCACGCAGGGATACGCTGGGAAGAAACAAAAAAAAAACAGGGCAGAATTTCAAAATACTTGGGGTATAGCAGATATTTCTAATTTCCGAGTGGACCGGATTTAGAAATCTCGGTGGCCCAAATCTCTATCATTTTTATTGCTATCCAAACGAGAAAATTTGTTAAATTCCTGGGTTGGCCCGAATTTGGGCCAAATCCCTACCCACTTTTCTGAATCCAAACGACCCCCTATAAAATTATCCATTCTTACTACCAAAAACAAAATCTTATACCATCTACGATTAATCTAAATAATTAAGTGCCCCTGTGGTTTGGTATATGCGTATCTAAATGATGTATTTAATGAATGCATGTATTGTATAGAATACATCATTTTTTTTATGTCAAAATGAAAAACAATACATGCATTTGATTGATGTGACACTTGAAATCATTCAATATGAATGATTTACAATCTCAACAATTTGGTAAGATTCTCGAGATTGTGTTTTGAGATTGTTCTTCCATTTTTGTTTCCCTTTATACCCCTATCAATGTTTATGCATTGTTACTCTACTATGTAAAAGAAAGGGTAAAAATGACCTTTCATTTAAAAAGTAACTTTCTCATTTTATTGCTAAATTTACAATCACAACTATCAAACAATGTAATCTTATAATACATGCATTTAAACAATACATCAATTTACAATGCAAGTATTCATACAATACATCATTTCTAACAATTTCAAATATCAAACTACCTCTAAAAATTCTTAAACCATTCATAGAATTTCATACAATCAAAATAATCCGTTTTTAAACCAGCCTGTTCTTGCTAAGTATCACTACTCCCAAAACTGACATTTTGGCTCCAATAAAAATAAACCATTCGTACCATGACGGATATAGATCCCAAACTAATACTTGAAATACAATCTCATTTATGCCTACGTATGAGCTTGCTAACCCATCGTGTTGGTTCGGGTGCTTCACCTTCTACCCTGTATTTCTTTCCATATGTACTCTAATTAGTTCTTTGGCCTCCAATGAAGGGGATCGGTTAGCATGCTAACCCTTATAAGGGGTTGGAAAAATGACACCCCTATTAATTATAGTTATATTTTGTATTAAATTTGTGTTGTATTTAATAATCTTTGGAAAACTTAAAATTCATCTTAATTGCATTCCTTTTTTAACTACCATTGCACTGATACAACTACCACTGCACCTGTATACTGAACTCATATTAATTACGTTCCTTTTTTGGAACTACCATTGCACTGATACATCTACCATTGCACATGAATACCATTCCATTGATACAACTACCAGTGCACTAAAAAAAGGAAAGTAATAATATGTATTTTAATTCATACAGATTATTAAATGCAACACAAATGAAGGGAGGAAAAGAGTTTTAGTTTTTATTTTTTTATTAAAAGGAGGAAACCGCCAAGGAACTACAAACTCCTAATAACCAGAAGTAGAGCACATAGTAGACTGAAACAGGGCCAAGACAGGGGATCAAAAAGGGAAGAACCAGGAGAACAAAGATCAGACAGAATCGGCTCTAATTACTTGTCTAGGAAAGTTGATTCCTATCATGTCATCTCTGCAGATTCTATCAAGCTTCAAAGGGGGATCAATTAGCTAATACGTACCGAAGGGATATACGAGACTGTGCTTCGAGAGCCAGTCTGCGACTGTATTCCCTTCGTGATACGTATGCACCAATCGAACCACCCATTGTCTGGCCAACATTCGTTTGATACTGTCGAGCATTGTTGCATAAGGATGTACCCTGTCGTTCCTCATTTCAATGAGTTGCAGTGCTAATTTTGAATCGGTCTCAAGAATGAGAAAACGAGAACCCTTCTGTCAAAATATGCGAAAATCAAAGAACACTAAGGTTTTTTTAACGTTGTTTCGTCAAGATGACACTAGTCCACTGTGAGGATCTCCCTCACAGGTTTTTTTGCTTCTTATTGCTTTGTTACCTTTCTACAAGATACACATGTAATATATAGGTTTAGAACCCTAAACCTAGGCCGAAACCCACTTAGGCTATTTACAAATTGGTATTTTAGAATATATAATTAACACCCTCCCTCAAATTGATGTCGATCTATCAACATCAATTTGCAAGACAAGTACCAATGTCTACTGGAAGCAACAGCCTTGGTCAACAAATCAGCAGTCTGATCTTCCGTTGACAGATAGCTCAACTGTATCCTGCCCTCTGCAACTAACTGCCGTATATAGTGAACATGAACCTCAATATGCTTCGTCCTATCATGAAGAACTGGATTATTTGCTATCTGAATAGCACTGGTATTGTCTCCATATTTCCTCATCGGCATCTTACTTCCAACAACCGCTGCAACCAGACCATTTCTGAGCTCAATTAAGACATCGAGCGATACTCGGCCTCAGTTGAAGACTTTGAGACTTTGTCTTGCTTTCGACATCTCCATGAAATGAATGACCGACCGAGCCTGACACACCAGCCGGATGTAGAGCCCCTGGTGTCTAAACATCCTGCATAATCAGCATCAGCAAATCCCTCTAATTCAGGTTGACTATCTGCAGGAAAGAACATCCCCAAATTCTGTGTATGCTTAAGATACCGTAGTAACCGATGCACAACATCCAGATGAGTAGTACGAGCAACTCCCAAGAACTGACTGACATTCTGAACTAGATAAGCTATATCTGGCCTAGTGTGAGTTAAGTAGATCAAACTCCCAACCACGCTTCTGTAGAATGTTTGGTCTTCAAGTAGTTCATCACTTTCCCTACTCACCTTGAGATTTTGCTCCATCGGAGTAGAACAAGGAAGACAATCACTATACTGGGCACTCTCCAACAAATCAATGATGTACTTGTGTTGACTTACAAACAATCCCTTATCTGATCGAGTTACCTCCATTCCCAGAAAGTAGGAAACCTCGCCTAACTCCTTGAGATTAAAGGCAGAATGTAAGGACCGGGTAAGATCTTGTATTCCTTCTACGTCACTGCCTGTCACAATCATGTCGTCAACATAGAGCAAGAGCACAAAAATACCGTGAACAGTGTGCCGTAAAAACATGGAAGGGTCACTCAAACTCTGTATAAAGCCAGCCTGTAGAGTAGTACTATGGAACTTTTCAAACCACGCTCGCGGTGCTTGTTTCAGTCCGTATAGAGACTTGCGAAGCTTACAGACCACATCTTTCCCTTTCTTGTCATAACCAGCTGGGCATTCCATATAAATCGTCTCCTTCAAATCCCCATGCAAAAATGCATTCTCACATCCAACTAAATAAGCGGCCAACTATACATGGCAGCAACTGCAAATATACTGCGAACAGTCTGCATCCTGACAACAGGGGCGAAAGTCTCGTCATAATCTATCCCAAACTCCTGGCGAAATCCATGTGCAACCAGTCGAGCTTTGTGTCTCTCTATAGTACCATCAGGGAACATCTTAATGTTGTATACCCAGCGGTTCCCAAGAACATGAATACCAGGAACTCGAGGAACGATATCCCAAGTGTGATTAGCCTCTAAGGCACGGGTCTCTTCAGCCATGGCCATCCCATTCAGGATGTCCGACGACAAACCGATAATGAGTGGGTACAACAACTGGCTCAGTAGAAAAACCAACATAGTCCTGCATACGGAGTGGAGGCTGACCGAGAGTGCTACGCAAGGAGCAACGGAGTGGAGGAGGAGATGGAGGACTACCTGGGGACGAATCGGAGCCACCCGAGCTAGAGGACCCGAACGTCGGGGATAAACTCGTCGAGGAAGTAGAAGAACCAGTAGGCCCCGGCGAGCTACTTGAGGAAGTGGAAGCACTGGACAAGAAGCAGCTGCCTGATAACAATGGTGTGGTAGGTGAAGATGGAGGATCAGCTTCATTCGGCATAGGAGCAGGACCAGGAACCTCATTCACAATATTAAAGACAGGAAGAGGACGAAGGATTTCCAAGGTAGATATATGTTCCTCGGCGGCAATCGAATAGTGCATTACCTGTTCAAGAAAAACAACGTGACAAGAGATGCGCATACGACGTTCTTTCGGATCATAACACAAATACCCCTTGTGACGATCACTGTAACCCATGAAAACACACCTAGCAGTCTTTGATTCCAACTTGTGACGATCCTTCTTCTACAGCAGTACGAAACAAACACAACCAAATACCCGCAACCATGAGTAGTTAGGTTGTTTAGAGAATAAACACAAGTAAGGAGACCGATCATTCAACGTAGGAGTCACTTGGTGATTGATGACATAAATCACTATATTAATAGCCTCAACCCAGAACCCACACGGCACTCGAGCACATAGCGATGCTTCCATTCCACCAGTCCATTTTGTTGTGACACACCTGGACATGACTGCTGAGAAATGATGCCATTGACACGATAGAACTCCATTAATGGATTGGAACTGAATTCTCCTCCAGGATCTGAGTGAATGATTTTGACTGTCTTGCCAAACTGAGTATGAATTAACTGTACAAAGGCAGTCGCATGATCTATCAACTCAGACTTCTTGTGAAGAAAGTATATCCAGGCATAGCGTGTGGCATGATCAATAAATAGGGCAAAATACCTATAGCCCGTACGAGAAATGACCGGAGATGGACCCCACAAGTCGGTGTGAATAAGATCAAATGGAGAATCATAAACGGTATCCCTAGGAGAGAAAGACGACTAAGATGTCTTGGATTCAATGCAATGAATACAAGGGGGTGGCTGGCCAAATTTCGAAGTCAAAGAGTCAGGCAGGAGATTTCGACGAAACATATGAAGAAGACGAGCATTATGAGGGTGACTAAGACGACGATGCCATAAATCCCAAACAGATGTTCTTACACTGAAATGCAATGAATCTAAAGGCCGAACTGAATAGGCCAAAGAATCCGAAGTAACTGTCCCATCAAAACGATGGTTCTTATTTTATGAAAAATGGTCCTCAACTAGACTATCAACTGCAAACATATCGTCCTCAAAAACATCGCCGTCCAAAGAAACAGCAGGCACCACATCCTTATCCACAGAAAAACACAACTCGTGCTCTGGTGAGGCCTTCTTCGACTGGTCATATTCTTTGAGACAAAGACGCGACCTTCCTTCTTACCCTTGCCCAGAACCTTGCCCGTGATCTGGTCCTGAACAACACAACCCTGCTTATCAAACTGTACTGCACATCCATCCTCCGTCAACTAACCAACCGAGACAAGCTGAGGAACTAATTTCGGAACATATAACGTGTTTGGTAATGAAACACGACCCATAGTAGCAGTACCAACACCATGAGTGGGCAGCCAAGAACCATTAGCCACTTGCAACGATGGTGTTAACCTAGTATTTAATGTGGAAAAATGAGAACGGGCATTAGTCATATGATTGAATGCAGCAGAATCAATCAACCAACGAGAAGAAATACCTGAACCACCACCAGTAGAAAAAGCAGAGTTGAGAGCCGAGGGCAGCGCCTCCTGTAAAGCCTCGGCCACCATTCGCCGAACATTGGCTTGAGTGAGGGCTGCCGAAGGAGGAGCCAGTGCCGACGAATGAGAGGCAGCAGCAGCGGGAATCACAGCACATCCCGCACCTGCTGGACCTCCAGTTGAGGGCGCGCCACGGGAACCAGTAGAAGAGCCACTCTTGTTGCGGCGAGCTGCAGCTTTGCACTCTAAGAAATGAGATTTCTTGTAGTAAATACAGAAGTTATTTTGTTTGCAGTATGGCTGAATGTGACCAACCTCATGAAAGTAATGACACGTCAAGTGCCCAGTGTTACCGCGCTGAAAATGAGGACGGGAACCCCCTGCACTACCCACAGCAAAGGCCGAGTCGGACTGACCGTCGAGTTTGGAAAGACTTCGAAGACGAGTCTCCTCCCTGAACAATTCACCAAGGGCATCGTCAATGGAAGTAACATTGCGATGACGTATGGAAGCACGAATAGCTTCAAACTCAGGACGAAGCTTCATCAGAAACTGCATGAGACAGGAGCGATCACGATCATGTAGAGTGGCGGCAGTGGCAAGAGTATCAGAAACCGAGGCAGCCAACATATCCTGTTCAGTCCATTTCGTAACCAAGGTTTGATAATAAGTTCTTATATCCCGATCACCCTGAGTAAATAATGCAATCTCACTTTCAAGCTCAAACTGGCGAGACGAATTATTTTGTGAATGGATCGCACAAATATGTGTCCACATCTCACTGGCCGTATCAAATCGACGCAAGCTGAGGCCCGTGCCAATGTCCATAGCGCCGAGAAGCAATGAAATCAACTGGGCATTTGCAGCAGCCCAGTCCTCCTTGTCCTTGTCAGAAGCCGTAGCAGCCGGCTGGGTTATTTGGCCGGTCAGAATGGAAAGGAGTCGCCGACCAGCGACAAAACTTCAGAATTGGAACTCCCAAATTGGGAAGTTCTTCCCATCCAGCCATGCAGAGACAGCTTCAAGCTTTCCTTGATCCATTTGTGCACCACAGCAAGGCACGCAGCAAAGCAATAAACAATAGAATAAACACAACCAAACTAGGGCAGAAACAAATACCAATCGGCTGCCAAAAGTGCCCAAAGAGAAGGCGCACAGAAGACCAAGAACTTCAGACCACACCAACCGCCGAAACCAATCCCTAGAGCAAAGCCAACCAAGCTGCCGAAGAAGTATCAGACGCAGCAACCAAATCCAACGCAAACTGCCGAAGAAGAATTTGACATAGCCGCAACCCAAGTGAAAACATGCCTAGAATCTCAGATCGCAGGCTCTGATACCATATCAAAATATGCGAAAATCAAAGAACATCAAGGTTTTTTTGAACGTGGTATCGTCAAGATGACACTAGTTCACGGTGAGGATCTCCCTCACAGGTTTTTTGCTTCTTATTGCTTTGTTACCCTTTAACAAGATACACAGGTAATATATATAGGTTTAGAACCCTAAACCTAGGCCGAAACCCACTTAGGCTATTTACAAATTGGTACTGTAGATATATAATTAACACCTTCTTCCAAGCCAACTACAGTCCTTGTAAAATGCCCCAAAGTTGTGCCAGAATCAAGCTTGCTGCAAAATCCTCCAACCCAGACTCCATCATGATCTCAAAGCACACCTCTTCCTGGATTGCTCTGAGCTGCACCATCTGTATTCATCTTATGCCAGCCTTGAGGTGGTTTGATCCAACTAACTAGCTCTTCCACTCTTTTTTGACTTACATTTAAAGAGGATGTTCTCGGAGATGGATTCGAAGCTTTCACCCATTTTGTCGCCTTAGCTACCACATAGTGATGCAAAGTGGGTATGGTCAGATTCACTCTTTTGAAAATCCTCTCGTTCCTGCACTTCCAGAGGTACCAAAGGACTAGGCTGAAGAAATTGTTCCATTGGCCAGGCCAATTACCAGTCGAAACATTTAGGATGTTGGTCTTAATCCAAGTATCAAGATCACTGCTGAAAAAACTCCTTCTACCTTGTTGTTCCAAAATCCTATTCCAAACTGCTTTGGCCCTTCCGCAGTCTCTTAACCAGTGAAGGTTGGTATCTGTCGTATTCCTGCACTTAGGACAAGAATCATTATCAGTTTAGTGTCTATGTTTCCTGATGCTGTTCATGGTGAGTTTCCCTTTCGTAGCCATCCACATGAAGACTCTGACTCGTTCAGGAACTTGGAGTTCCAAATGTTTTTCCAAACTGAGTTGGTTTGCTGATTCGGTTGTTTCTGGATTGCTTTATATGCAGAGCTAACCGAGAAATGGCCATTTTCAATATTTCTCCAGAAAGCTTGATCTCCTTCCATGTCCAGAGGGTCGATCACGATGGACCGAATCTTATTAACCATCTGCCCCAGGAGAAAATGTTGGAACTCTGCAATCTTCGAGCCATACTCTGAATAACATAAATCAGCCACCCCCCGATTTAATTGCTCCTCTGGAACCTCAACAGTGGCAAGCTCCTACAGGGGAACCTGCGAAACCCAGGAGTCACACCAGAACTTAGTTCACTTACCATTCTTAACATTCATGGAAAAACCCTTCTTCAACACATTAGCTGCAGAGACAAAGCTTTGCAAGGCTATAGAACTTCCCTTTTTTTTTTTTTTGCAGAATGTTGATGCCCTCTCTGTTGCCGACATACTTGTTAAACAAAAGTTTTGTCCATAAGGCTTCTTCCCTCGTAGCTAGCTTCCAGCTTCCTTTCGCAAGCATGACTTGGTTAGCCTGTCTAATTGGGCGAATACCTACTCCTCCCTGATCCCTTGGAAGGGTTAACTGATCCCGCCCAACTGGATGGAATTTCCCTTCTCTTTCTTCTTCTCCCCAAATAAATTTCATGTTAACATGTCCAACAATTTGCAAACAGAGGCAGTGAAAGCTTCAGAGAACATAGGATAGACTGCCATAAAAGAGGAAATTGATCTCACCAAAGTCAAGCGAGATGCAAGAGAAAGGTAATTTGTCTTCCAGGAAGCAAGTTTTTTCTGGATACGAAGGATTAGGTCCTTGTTCCTATCATTGGTGACTCGTCCATGAATTGCATTGAGACCTAGGTATCTCCCCAGGTCATTAGTGAGTGGGATATTGGCTCGGTCACTGAATTGTTGGGCCTTCTGATGACTGATGTTTGGTGACACAAACATCATGACTGATGTTTGATCCCTGCCTCGGCAAACAAAATTAAATCGTCTGCAAAGATGAGGTGAGGCAGTTTAAAATCGTGAGAGGTAAGTGACAGAGGCTTCCATTCATTGCTTTCCACGGCGCTCCATACAAAGAACAAAAATGTTGGGAGATAGGGGATCTCCCTGTCTGACTCCTTGAGAAGGCACAATCCAATCCGTAAGTTTGCCATTCTAATTAATCTTCATCCTGTTCTCCTCTACACACTTCATTATTCATCTAATCCAAGTGCTAGGAAGCCCAATTTCAATCAAGGTATCTCTGATAAACTCCCACCTATGCCTATCATAGGCTTTTTTCAAGATCAATTTTGATCACTACTCCTCCCTTCTTACCCTTCCTGTGGCGTAGAGAATGTAAGACCTCTTGAAGGACGATGATGTTATCAGTGGTCTGTCTTTTTGGTATAAACCCACTTTGAGTAGGAGCCACCAAATTTCTCATTAAAGGCTTCAGTCTATTAGCCATAGCCTTCGTGATGGCCTTCAAATTTACATTGTTGAGACAGATTGGTCTTAGCTGAGCAGGGGACTCCGGTTGATTGACTTTGGGAATAAGCACAAGTTTGGAATCGAGCACATCTGTCGGGAGGTAGCCGGTTTCAAAGAAAGAGGTGGCAAGGAACAGAGAAAGGTTTCATCCCAAAAATCGCTTTATGAATGTCAGGGATGGAGAAAGGGCGAAGAAGGGTTAAGAGATCTTCCTGATCAATTCTTGGGAAGCAATTCTTAGGCATTCGGTCAATATAGGGAGTGGGATCTTGTTTGTACAGTCGGGAATAAAATCCTACCACCAGTTGTTCCAACTCCACCGGATCTTCCACCCAATTCCCATAATCTTCTTTTAGTACCAAGATTTTATTCCTTCTTCTTTTCCTGATGGCTTGCTGGTGGAAGTAGGCCGAATTTCGTTCTCCAAGCGTAGCCCAATTTTCTTTAGCCCTTCGGTACCAAATAACCTCCTCCTATGCCAGCAAAATGTCCAACTCTGTTTCGACTTTTGCTTGCAATTTGATGAGTCATGGATCGAAATTGTTGGCAATACTGATTTGAATTCCCTTTAGTCGAGACAACAACCTCTTTTTCCTCTAATTAATGATATCAAATGTCTACTTATTCCAGATTTGCAGCTTGCTAGCAACATCATGTAAAGCCTGGTGAAGGTTGAGGTCTTTTTTCCAGGCAGCTGCAAAAAAATTATTGGAATCATTGTGCAGTAGCCAAGCAGCCTCAAAACGGAAAGGTCTCCCTTCACTAGCGGTGGGCATGCTCCCTGTACAAATGGTTAATATAGGAAGATGGTCAGAGTGAAGCTTGGGAAGATATTGAACAGAAGTATTGGGAAAGCCGAATTCCAGTCGGAATTACAGAAGGATCTGTCAATTCTACTGGCTTTAAAGTGAGCTCCTGAATTCCCCCGAAACCAAGTAAATTTGGCCCCTCAAAATCCCAAGTCAATAAGATTAGCTAAATGATAACGATGTAATTGCACATGTTTGCGCCCCTAGTTCTCATCCGTTTGAGGGGCATAGTCGTGTGTTGTGACCTATTTTACGCCGGGTTGTGCTATTTTGTCATGTTTCAGGTCCCAGGCGTCAAAGGGAAGGCTAAGCGCGAGTTTCGGGGCATTCGGAAGTCATTTCGGTAAGCTGGAGCCAAAACACGGGTAGCCCAAGGAATTACACGGCCGTGTACTGCTGACCGTGCTTTTTATGCCGAGAGCAAATTCAGTTTGGCCGCTTCAGCTGCAAACACGGGCACCGAAGCACGGCCGTGTTCAGTCAAAGCACGGCCGTGTACATCGCGAAGCACGGCCGTGTTTCCACCAGCTGCTGGCCGTGTAATTAAGCCCTGGCCGAGGCACGGGCGGAGTCAGGCAAAGCACGGCCGTGCCCTCGACCGTGCTTTGGCCACTGATGCTTTTAAGCATATTTTCAGCCACAACTCAAGGGGATTCGAGTTTTTGAGAGATAGAACGACTTCTAGAGAGAGAAAGTGACGAACAAGAGTTCCCAAGTGCCCTAGATTGATCTTCAACACCATTGGAGGCCAGCTTGAGCTTGGAGAAGTGCCAATCAACGTCCAGAACCAAGAATCCATCCTTCGCAGTATGAATTCCGTGTCTGATTCTGCTTTTGCTTTCTTCTCCATGGAGTAGTTCTCCCATTCATCTGGGTATGGAGAACCCTAGATTTGTATGTTAGGCTTTGATTGTATGAACCCAAGTACTGATTCTGTGATTGATTATATTCGATTGAGGTTTTAATGATTGAATGACTTGAATCCTGATCAAATTCCTGTTGTTTCTGCTTTAACCTAGAATGAGAATATCTGCCTAGGTTAATAGAGTATCCTTGATTGAAGGTAGGGAGTTGGTGACTTTAGTCGAGGAACCAACTCACTATTCTGTACCGGATTTACTCCGGTAGTGGAGGTTTTGTTCTTAGGGCCTCAATCTGTCTACTCCGGTGGAGGTTAGTCGCCCGCTAGAGATTCAGATTGAGAGGGTCTGAAGACCTTTAGTCGAGACTTCAGACTGTTTAAGAACCTTCCGCAGTATAACTATCATAGAAACTGAACTTGGTAATTACAATCCGGCTTAACTGCAGTCTAGGGGGAACCATATCCGGGTGACCTCTTTAACCTGAATACAACTGTTTACTTGCTTTGTTAGTTTGTTAGTTTAGACTTGCATTCCAGTTTCATTGCTAGATAACAAGAATTCACTGAGTAGTCATCACATCTAGGACCCGGGTTGATAATTAAACCCAAACCCGCTATACTACGCTTTAGGAAGTGGTTTCACTTGGCCAATTCCTGGAGTGACAGTAGAGTCGAGTCATGTTTTTGGCGCCGTTGCCGGGGACGGCTAGGTTGTTGAAGAAAAGTGATTTCTGTTAATTTAGCTTTTCTTTTTGCTTTGTTTTCTTTGTCCCACTTGTGCCTTCACGGGTTTGTTGCTTGAGTGTGTGCAGATAGTGCATGACCCGTAGCCAGTCGGGAGGTTTACTGCCGTTGAATCCAGAGATTGACCGCACCTGTCGCCAGCTCAGGAGACAACAGCGAGCTAGACTGGCTACGGAAGAGCGCATAGACGGCCACCTGAGCAGCGATTCTGAAGAAGAGCACAGGATGGACGGAGACTACAACCAACACCAGGGGAATCCACAGCAGGTTCCCCCGGTGAATCAGGTCCTGGGGAACAACCCCATACCCCAGGATCATGGAGTTCATCATCCACCAAAGCCGGGTCCCACCTTGAAGTACTACTACACTCCGCGGATTGCTGACATCCGCCCGGTCATCCTCTACCCGCCTATTCCAGCAAACAACTTTCAGATCAAGCCATGCTGGATTCATCTCATCACATCTTCTATCCAGTTCCATGGCTTGAAGAATGAGGAGGCCAGGGTGCATCATTCCCGTTTTCTGCAGCTGACGAACGGGTTCAAGCTCAATGGAGTCCCCGATGATGCGATCCGCCTTCATCTCTTCCCCCATTCTCTGGCGGGGAATGCTAAGAGGTGGTTGGAGACCCAGCCCCCATTGTCCATCACCTCTTGGGACGATCTGGCTGACAAGTTCGTGCACAGGTACTATCCGGCATCGAAGACTACAGAGATTCAGCGGGAGATCACTCACTTCCGCCAGGAGCCAGAGGAGTCACTTCGTGATGCTTGGGAGCGGTATATGGGCTATTTCTGGCAGTGCCCCCATCATGGCTTCAGCGATGCATTCACAGTGGGGAACTTCTACAGTGCCCTTTCTCCAGATAGCCAGAGGGTGATTGAGTCTCTATGCCCAGGAGGAGATATTCTCACCAAGACTCCACCCGAGCTGAATCAGATGATTAATACATTGGCTTCCAGAGATCATTCTTAGGGACAGGGTAGCCGAGGCAGACAGTCCCGGGACCGTGGTGTGCACGCCATGGAAACTACATCCGGGCTCGAGCAGCAGGTAGCTGAGCTACTGCAGACATTGAAGCAGCCCAACAGTCTGATTCCGGGCAGAGGTTTGGCTACACCTCTAGTAGCTCAATGTCAGTGGTGTGAGAGCTCCAATCACCTAGTGGAGGACTGCCAGGCTATGAGGGAGTCTACCACACCCCAAGAGCAGTTGGCCTTCATCGCAAATGCGAGGCGCCTCGATCCATACAACAGCACATATAATGAGGGGTGGCGCCAGCATCCCAACTTCGCCTGGAGCAGCAACACCACTAAACCACCTGGTTTCCCAGCACCAGCATGTGGTTTTCAGCAGAGGCAGCCCTTCCAGGCTCGCCAGGGGCCAGACCCACAGCAGCAGCCCTACCAGCCTAGGCAGGGCTAGCCATTCCAGCAGCCCCAGCGCCAGTTCGCCGAGCCAGCAGCAGCTCCGGCCCCAGACGACAGGATGACGAAGCTGGAAAACATTCTAGCTTCATTCATGACTAGCACTCAGGCTGCTATCACATCACTGGAGGCAGGTCAGCGGAACCAGGGTGCCATTTTGCAGGATCTGCAGACCCAGGTGGGCATCTTGGCCCGCCAAAACACTACCAGGGCACCAGGGACTCTGCCTGCCACCACTGTTCCTAATCCTCAAGATCCTCACCAGCATCAGCAGCTGGATGCCATTTTTACCAGGAGCGGTAAGGTCATATCTGCTGATCCTGTCCCGGCCAGACAGGAGGAACCACTGACAGCTTCAGCACTTCCAGCCGACGATGCAGAAGTGCGGGTGGAGAAGGAAGCCCCTGCTCCCAAGCCACAACCAGTGGTTAAGGAGCATGTACCCCAGCTTCCCTTCCCCACTCGCCTACACAAGGACAAGCTGGAGACTGAGTTTACCAAGTTCATGGAAATGTTGAAGCAGCTCAACATCAGCATACCGTTCATGGAGGCACTGTCGAAGATGCCCAAGTATGCCAAGTTCATGAAAGATATCTGCACCAACAAGAAGAAACTTGGGGATCTCTCGACAGTGATGCTGAGCGAGGAGTGTTCTGCTATCCTGCAGAACAAGCTGCCCGAGAAGCGCAAGGATCCAGGGAGTTTTACTATCCCTCTTACTATTGGCAGCATGCATGTAGGAAAGTCCTTGGCGGACCTAGGCGCTAGCATTAACGTCATGCCATATAAGTTGTATAAAATGCTAGACCTAGGTGAACTTAGCCCTACTAGGATGAGCATTCAATTAGCTGATCGTTCTATTGTGCATCCTAGGGGAATCATAGAGGATCTGCTTGTTCATGTTGGTGCATTCACATATCCTGTTGATTTTGTTATTCTGGATGTAAATGAGGATGTGGATGTGCCTTTGATTCTAGGTAGGCCATTTCTTGCCACCGCCAAGGCACTTATTGATGTGCATGATGGTAAACTGATACTGCGTGCTGGGGATGAACATGCTACTTTTTCTGTGACGGAGTTTGATCATTGTGCTATGATTGATGTCACGCCTGTGCATGCTATGTCTGGTCAGGTACACAAGCCTGTCGTGTATCCTTCTGCACCTCCTATTTTGCAGGACCCTCCTATCATTCCTTCGCCGCCACTCCATCCAGCCACGCCTCCGAACAAAAAGCTCAAGGAGGAGTGGCGGCCGAAGCAGCAGGTTGCTAAGCCTGCACGGAAGAAGAGTGGAGACCACTATGAGCTGGTCCCACCTCCAGCACCACGACCACCCTGGTCGTCCGGGTACTCACTCGCCTGCATCTTGCCAGATGGGCAGGTCGAGCTGACTGATGATGGTGGTCGCATCCGTCGGGTGCATGGCCACAACTTGAAGCTGTACCTCAAGAGCGACGTGGATCCGCTCTTGGAGGCACCTGTTCCTGCACCGCCCTGAGTATCCGCAATTGGCGTCCAGCTAAAAGACGGTAAAGAAGCGCAAGCGCTTGTGGGGAGGCAACCCCACCATGGTTTGATTTTCTTTCTTGTGTTTTGAGTCGGATTGTAACCCGGTTTGGGTTTGGTTCGTTTTCTTTTGGTTTGGATGATATTTTATTGGGCTGACCATTGAACCTAACATATTGTGTTTGAGCTCTTCTGTACCCCTTTGGCTGTGCTTGCCCCGACTGGCCCGTTTCCAGTCCCATGCAGTCCGTGCATACCGGTAACATCGTTCCCCTTATCCTTCCCTCTTCTCCATTGAGGGCAATGTCGAGCTTAAGTGTGGGGGGATGTTTATCTTTAACTGCATTAGATCTGTTTGTGTGCTTGGAGCCTAGTCCACTGTCCAAATTTTTAAATTTGAGGGCTTCAAGTACGTGTTTCCTTGCAATTGCCTGCTCAGTATGCTTTGAATTGACAGTCTTTATAGTGATATGCAACCTAGGGAGGTAGTGTAGCACTATGGAGGATGTCGATGCATTTAAG